CACTATTCCAACAGTGCTCCTAAAAACAGAAATACCTCACAAATAATTTTATAAAAATTATCAGATATTTATTATACAATATTGCTTAGATCTGTCTAACATACATATGTTACAAAATTTCGTTATAATTCTTGCATGAAAATAATAGCTCCATGAATTGAATAAATTGTAAGTGAAGTTATTAGAAAACTTTCACGCACTTTTTATTGAATCACAAAAATATGTCCAATTTAAAAGACAAAATACATGAAGGGGGCCGCGTCGATACAAACCAGGTGACACGTGCTGGCGCATTTCACTTTCATTTCTAGTCGAGGAGACACTGAATATTTTATACGTAACTTTATACATAAATTTTATACATAAGCTTATACATAAGTGTTGAAGAGCTTTTTAAGTTTATTTTGCAAAAAAATAGCTTAGTGTTATTGATATATCAACTCCTTGATTGTATTCAACAAATATATTGATATCGCAGATGGTGAAGAAAATCATATCTTAGTTTGATGTCACATAACAATTCAATATATATAACCGATGACAATTATTATTAATTTAATATTAATAGAAAAATACAAATACATACTTTCATTTTTAGAACAAAATTATTTTTATCACAATTTGACAATCAAAAAACTGTTTTATTAATATTTTTATATACAATACAAAACTGTTTAAAATAATTTACTATCTCTCAGTGAATGCGCTTGCGCCGATGCGTGACGATTGTGACAGATCGCTGGTAAGATCTCGCCGTTTTTGTGTTATCGCGAGAAGCACTTTGCGCCACGTAGTAGTGCTTTAATGTATCATTAACAAGAGAAAATAGCCTACTTAATATTAACAAATTACATTCGCTTCCATGAATTCACTTAATTCCGAAACAATACGACTTAGGGTCCTTCAAGAAAAGAACGTACCTATTCTTAAAAGCCCGGCAACGCAAACGCGAGCCCTCTGGCATTGAGAGTGCCCATGGGCGGCGGTATCATTTAACATTAGGTGCCCAGCCCGTTCTATAAAAAAACAGCAATCATATATCATAAATTTAGCATGTATCAAATAATTGCAAATGGCAACACTGGTTATATTTTAAAGGCAAGTTTCAGAGTAGAGAGTTTATATACACTAACGAATCACGTAGGTAACATAATTCGCTAAGTTCCGACTATGAAACTTCCCCTATGATTTTCAACATCATTGTTGCCATTATATTCAATAAAGGAAACTGGAAATTGGGAGGCTATTCATTTAATTTGACATACTTGTATATATCGAATAATTGAGTAAGAAATACACTTCACAACCTTACTTTCTCTCTTGCAAAATTGATTAAGACGTTTGCGTAGATAGCCCTTGGCAACATCTAAACACCATGGCAAATGATGCAAATGGTTTTTGCAATCAGGCCTTCGAGAACGTGTTTTTATTCCGTTATTTACAAATTCATCTTCAAATTTGATCATATTGTCGATGGTGTTGAAGAGGTATGTAATCTGTGGTTTTTTTTTTCACGTTTGATGCCTACCGCTAATGCGCGGCAAATCTCAATATCGAAAACAAAATGAAAGAAAACACCCTGGTTGTTCCATGCATTTTACACAACATCCGAAAATCCGATAAAAATGAAGTCACAATTTTTATATTAAATGTAAAAAAAAATAATTCTGGAATGGCATGTATTAATAAAAAATATCAGTGTCTGCCTCATTTGGAATTCATACAATTGTACATATGATTTTCGATATAAAATTAAACATTTATCATTCTTCCGACATTCTTCGATAAGCGACCTCTAGCGTATAAAGCGATGAGTAACTAATGATTTTTGGGAATCGTGACGCTATTGAATTAAGGCAAAAAATAAGGACTTTCCGACCATTAACCGACGTCGAATATTGATGAGTAATTACAGGTCAATGGCTTTAGTATAACTTAATATCGGATGCATCTTCAGAACTTACGATTATGTTTCAGAATCTCATATGCATTTATTTATTTATTAGAATCTTACAGCTAACATACTCGTACATATTATAAAACAAAACACTTAGACAATTTACGAAGCCAAAACATATTACATTGATAAACAGAGAACATAAGTAAGTACATTAATAGACAAAAAAAAATTGTGCGTGTACTAGGTGTACACACGTAAGAAGTGAAATTTCTTTATGATCTTATTTTCCCCCTTTCATTCTTATTTTTTTATTCAAGCATGAATACAAATATTCATTTACCTATTACTACGAAGATTATTAAGAATCAAGTCCCAAAAAAGGACCAACTTCCCCACAAAACCCCCCCCCCCCCCAAAAAAAAGATTCCCCCCCCACCCCCAAAAAAGAATTTTCCCAAAAAAAAAAACCCGGCGCGAAACCCAAAAATGTGACGCGTAACGAAAAAATACTAAATTTTTTTCCAACCTCGATAAAGAAGTTTCACTTCAAAAAAGAAAACTGAAATTTATCATTAAACAAACGACAATTATTAATACTTAACAATAACATTGGTGCTAATTGCTTCTAATAATAAAACGTAGATGTAAAATCAACCGTAGTAAATATTCAATTAAAGATTTTTTTATTATAACTTAAGCTCGCATACAAAATAAATGCAGAAGCAATAATGAGTTCTTATTCACATGGCGTCGTATTTAACCTGTGCCAGTGGGTGTCAATGATTTACACCATTGCAACCATTCATATTTATTAGTTGGCCATTTTTTCCGCCATAAATCGCACTGAATGACACGAATGACACCCCGACATGGTCCTATTAACATTCGCGATGGTTTTTACATCGTTTTTTGAGATAACTCATGAATATTCTTTCGCTAGATGGAATTTCTTTTCGCATTTAAGTATGGGGTTAATTGTTTCCTAAAATACAACATTTGCGGAAAATGGTAAATGCTAAATTCGAAATTTAAATTTAAAAATGGGCAATGATACTGACTTTAAAATGATATGTTTTACTTTCAACGTTTAATAAAACGAATAAAAAGGTAAAGAAAGTTACTATTACTGTTAGTTTATATACAGTATATATTAAAGTTACCTACTATTGCTGTTAGTTTATGTACAGTATATGTTAAAGTACTAATTTTATAATAAAGTACCATAAAATAATAAATATGCAAATGTGCTCACGACTGTATACATATAAACGCACCTCATAATTATGATTTACAGTGCACAGATAATAGATCTTTATAGAGGTTGCACTATTTCCATCCGAGTTGACGTCATTTTTGTTTATTTTGTCTATTGATACGACCTCTGTGGCGATTTAATTTGAAAATGGGGCCAAATTTGTATCTATGTCATGGATGGTTGAAAACCGTTATTTAATATTCTAAAGAACGTGCCTCGCATTGAATATTTAAAATTCTTGTATTCTTATAAAAATTGAACCGGTACTGTTATTGACTTGGTAAAGATTCCCTTACTGCTATGTCAAGCAAATATAAAGCTATTTTTAAACGAATTTCTAACGTAAGTTTAATATATAGCTCCCATTTGTGTTTTTTTTTAAAATAAAATTATAACTTTCGGTTTTAAAAACAAACTTAAAACAAACAAATTTAACAATAATTTTCGTTCTAAATTCAAACAACTGTCGCACATATATTAAAAGTTCGTTTGCAATTTAACCTATTTCGTTAAAAATAATTCATGATCGTTGCGTGTTGCGCCGAAGCCATTTAGAGACTTAAAGGTGGAAGGAAGGGCACTACAATTTCGCATAATGACGGGTTCATATATATCATTGATCGTCAGTCTTGAGATCGCAGTTTTAAGCTGGTACAGAATAGTTTGAATTAAAGATACGTTCTTCTGAACAAAATATGGTTGATAGAATTTGTTTCGATACAAAGGGATTACTGTATCGGCTACATAAATGATTTAAGCCTAAAAGTTTTGCATCGTTATTAAAGTATAAATAAACAATAGTGTCGTTTGATTCGTACCTAACATAACCTCCATATTAAATATGTTTATAAATATAATCCTTACCGTATACGAGTACATGGTTCGTTATTTAAAAACAGCACACACAGTTTATAAAACACAATTCCTTATAAAACGAAGTGTAAACAAAGCTTAACAGTAAATTATCGCGTAAAGGGTGCTTATTCGTGCTCTTGTTGTCGACCTTGGCACGCGATTCCCTCGTTGGGATGCCATTGTGTTGCTAGGCAACGGTCTTTAGTCAGCTGACGGCTGACAGTTAAAAGACCGCCAAAACGAGGCAAAAATAATAACGATGTTGAATTGTGGATATTAATGATTAAATAGTTTGGTTCATATGGATTTATTTTCAACGTAACATTTATTATATTAATATTACCAATTGAAGACGCAGCGACTTGTAGAACTTTTTATCATAGGAAAAAGCTTTTGAACAGTGGACTTTTCATGAAAATTAATTAATGTTTTATGCCAGCTCCTTGACTAGAGCGATGAGATATGGAGTTGTTGTTAGTTTGATGTAGTCTTTAATCAGCTGACAACGTTGTCAACAGCTCCTCGACTCTTGCAGATTACAATGTCTGACGGCTCTCGAGGATTTATTACTTTGAATTATACACTCGAGAACTTGTGTATATTGAAAAATAAGGACGAACACTATATTGAAAATTATATGTTGTTAGCATTTCCTTTTGTTTGTCATAACATTTTTAAATTATGGTCATGGTATGGTTAACTAGCTGTTTTTTACAATTATTTTGTGGATTAGTATATTATATATCACAGTTTAAAACGGGTTAAATTTTGTGGTATTGTTATATCCACACCCTGGAGCCGTTCAAGTATTACGTAAGCAGATTTACTGCAATTTATTTCCCCCCCACCTAATATTACATAAACGTATTAAGTTTATCTAGGAATCCTCGAAAATGCATTTCGTTTTCAAGCATAGACAATGTGTGGGTAATAAGTGTAAAAAAGTATATAATTACTTAGTAATTTTTAAAAATATTATACTTATTTCAGTGTACACAGACCAACCTGTATCATCAGCGTCTCCTCCCACTCGGGACAAAATCAATGGAGAAGAAAAGGCCCGTTCACGACGCAGGGACACTTGGCCAGAACCAGTTCAAGCTGCTAACGATGACGGTATGTCACCTTTATATTGAATCTTAATCTCGCCTGTTTAGATAACCTATTTCGATACACATCGTAAGTCTTCGGTAGTATAGTGGTAAGTATCCCCGCCTGTCACGCGGGAGACCGGGGTTCGATTCCCCGCCGGAGAGAAATACCTTTTTACTTTTTTGTTATTTTATTTTGTATTTTGATGTGAAACATCTTTAGCCGCACGTATACCGATTTCTGGCGTGGCGCCACGCTATATGATGGTATATATATATACAGTCTATATGCAGTAGTGTGTACGGTGTGTGTATTTCGAAGTCACTGATTAAACGAATTAAGTAGTCACGATTTGAAATTCTTAAATTTTTTTTGAATGAAAATAAATGTTTATTCAATAAATAGTCATCGTTATCTGGAAAAAAAATCGTAATATTTTATTTTATCATTATGACGTATGTATTTAGTTCCTATCACAATCTGTTCTTTTCTGCATATTACTTTTACAAAATAATGTCGATGTTTCACATCTGCCAGGCGTCGCGGGACGGCTCACATTTTTTTTTAATTCATAGTACCTACTAACCATTTAATATATACAATATGTTTTTCAGAATTATTGAAACAATTACAAAACAAAATAATGTTTACGAAAATCACAAAAAAAAATGTTTCCATTATCAAAAACATTATCTAAAATTAATAAAAAAATTAACTCTCCGGCGGGGAATCGAACCCCGGTCTCCCGCGTGACAGGCGGGGATACTTACCACTATACTACCAAAGACATGTCATGTCTTGCGAAATAATAAATGTACAAATGAATTGTAATACAATCGTCGTGGTATACCTTAAAACTTTTAATCGATACAACATAACTTGTATAAATAATGATAACTCATTAGATAAATAACTGATAACAGTTGTACTGCACCTAGCTTGTTTTATTCTTAATAGTCGCGTATGTAGCGAATAACACTAAATAACAAACACTTAGAAAGACTTCTATATTTCCAGCCAACGTCCGATCCCCTCTTCTACAGCAGCAGCACCAGCAATATGATGAACAGTTGAGGGACATCGCGGCTTCCCTAACGAAGCCCAGGTCACGCCGTGCGCTGCCGCCTACCTTGGAAAGACCTACCCGGTTACCACCGCCAGACAGACTACCGGTAATTATAAACATTGTTCCATATAAAATTGTGTTTATTTCAAAGCAAAATACACGTTGCAAACAAAGCATTTTGCTTGCAATTTTGAATGATCAAAAGAAACAAATGAGTACTTTAATTAAAACAGGTGCAATGAAATAAGGTTATATTTTAGTGATCCAATTTAAATTAAAAATAATTTAATAAATACGCTGCGACAGATTGATCAACAAATATATTTGATACTAATAACTATATTTACGTAAGTACATATTGAATTAAAACCTCATTTGTTAAATAGTAAATGCCAATATTTTACTACAGAAAAATAAATATGTAAGATATCTTTTGTTTATATATTTAAAGCATACTTGAATTAAATAAGTAGAGGAGTTTTATCAATAATTTTAATGTTGAACCTTGTGCAAGAATAAACAAAAATGGTTATACTCCAAAAGAATTATTGTTTTACTAGAAATGGACCTATTTATTATAACCATATTGATACAGTATTAATAAATTTCAGGCTAGAGGTTCACCAGACGGTGGTGCTCCAACAGAAGAAGGCTTAACTAGCTCAGCAAGTGAAGGAAGCGAGCCAACTGATGCTGCAGAAGCAGCAGAAAGTGTTGACGGAGTTCGAGTAGAATTACCAGCTGAACGTCTTCTTCATGCCAGGGCAGGATGGCTGCAGCGAAGAGGTATTTCTTTTTGAATTAAGATTATTCCACTAGTTTAATCGCTCATATTCCACGCTTATTAATCCTTGCTTGAATGATTTTAGACAGAAAATAAAATATCTTAAACAAACTTGACTGATTACATTTGATTAAATAGATGATAGCTAAGTTAAATAATTTTTAAAGGTCCCTCTGGATGGTCAAGACACTGGTTCGTGCTACGGGGTGCAGCTCTGCTTTACTTTAGAGATCCTCATGCAGAGCACCGCGGCCTCATGGACGGTGTAATCGATTTAAGTGGGGTCGCACGCGTTGTCGAACTGCCCACCTCTGCATCTACCAATGGATACGCGTTTGAAACTGAGGTAAAATAACGAGTATAATAAAAACTATTTTCTGAAATATTTTATCAAAATAGAATGAGTTGACGTTAATAAACATTAAATATCTTTTAGCAGCTACACTTTTTAGATTTTAATTAAATATTTATTAAGTTTTTATATGGTTTTCAGACGTGGGATGGCAAACACATAGTGCTGTCAGCAGTAACTGCGGGAATCAGGTCGAATTGGATATCGGCCATTCGACGAACGGCAGGCTTACCGGACTCTGGGCCGCTCTCACTGATTCTGCGAGAGGACTCGGTCGACCAAACGTCTGAAGCGTCCACATCCCCTGTGACGCCCGTCACCCCGAATACGATGAAAACGGCGCCATTCTCCTCGGATGAAGAGTATCGCACTGCTTCAGAAGGCGGGCGAAGGGACAGCGCGGACTGGGGAGACGTCGCCCCGCAACCCCCTCCCTCTCCTATACTCAACCGGACGCCAATATCTAAAGTTAAAGAAAAAGTCCGCGCAAGGAACACTGCCCCTGCTAAAGTAGATATCAAGTGCGAGAGAGACGAAATAGATGCCGCCAAAGAAAATGAGCGCCCGGCAGACAATATTATCGATGAAAACGAAAAACCAAATGAACCCAGAAAACGTAGCTATATATCGACAATAGATAAGCAATCTATTGAAATAGACGACCTGCGAAAGCAGTTGAAGATGGCACTTAGCGACGTCGACGCTGCCGAGGCTGAGTTAGCGCGACTGAAGAAACTAAAAGCAGATGCTGCGTTGAGAGAGAAAAAGATGGAAGAACTAGTTATTGCTCTACAAAAGAAAGAAGAAGAGCTATCTATCAGAACTAAAGATGCTGAAAACTTAGACGCTATTAAACAACTTTATATTCAGGACAAAAATATGTGGGAGAGTAAATTGACAGAGACACAAAATTTCTTAAAAGAGTCTACAGAACATTGTGAGTTGTTAACGAAACAGCTTGCCTCGGCTCAAGATACGGTCAAGCAGCTTCAAAAGGAGCTAACCGATTTAAACGAGAAACTTCTTAAGAGCGTTAAAGAGAATGATTATTTGTACGGCAGAATAAGAGAACTTGAAAGTAAAGTTATCGTGGAATCACCATCCAAGGAGAAGAGAAAAAGTGTTGGTTCGCTTCATGAACTTGGCAATATCAATGAAAATGTAAATTTAGAGTCTTTGGAGAAAAATAGACTGATCGAAGAATATGTAGAATTAAGAAGTAGATTCTTAAGAGCAATACAGGAAATTAAAGTTATGAAGAAAGAACTTCGTGAATCACACAACATGTACGACGAATTGGAGATCACAAATCTAAAATTAATCAATGAAATGAAGTTAAGGGAACAATGCAGTAGATCAGAGATAGATCTGATGGCTGCTCGAATTTTAGACTTGACACAAAAACTAACTGCATCTGACAAACAAGTAAGAACATTGAAACATAAAATTCAGAAGACTGAGTCTAGAGAAAAGCGACGAAGTTTATCGCTTAAAGGCAGAGAATCTTTTACCATCGGCAAAGAAGTAGAAGAGAAACTGACAGAGCTGGAAAATAAAATAACACAATTAGAGACCGGTGAACCTGTGCCTATAATAAATTCACCATCAAAGAGCGGATCACCTGTTAAAGAGAAGGTCACGAAATCTGATGGTGTTGCCGACGAAAAAAGAATGAAACGGTTAGCAGCACGTCTTAGAAGGAAGTCTCTCGATAGTGCTACAAGTTCCGAGCCCATGAAAATGTTGGTCAGGTTAAGCTCGTTAGAAACCAAAGTAGCGTCTGTTCTTGAACATCGTCGCGAGATCGCTAACTCCAGTGAATCGCTCAGTCAAACCGAGAAAACTATTTTAAATGAAGACCAAGAAAATTCTTCGATCGGTACCCAATCCCAAAGGCATCTATTAGACAGGTTACAGAGTCTTGAAAGTGTAGTGATACATTCGAGAAATAAAGTAAACGATTGTCTATGTCAAATGAGTGCAATGCGGGCGGCTAAGTCGAAAAAATCAGCTTCACCCAGTTTAGAAAAGAACTATAGTCTCAAGTCAATGGAAAAATGTTTGTCCGATGTCAGTAAGAGGCTTCAAGATTGTTTCGATAAATGTGTATTGGATTCCTGCGAGGAAGCCAAAAATGATGACGAACACGACAGTGTCACTCAGGTCGTGATACAATTAGAAGAACAGTTAAAGATTAAACTATTAGATATATCAAAACGAAAAGCTGCGCTGTACGAGGCCGGCGAGCTCACCCATAGGAAAAGCTTAGAACTTTTAGCAGAAAAACTGGCATACGAGGCCGTTCTCGTCGGTAGAATCCAAGAAGCTCTGGAATCCTCGAACGGTAGCAGATTTTTTGCAAGATTGATCAAGTCAGAAATCACCGAAACTAGTCAATTAATCGATAACCTTAAATGTAAGTTAAACGGGGAGAGCGGCAAGAACTCCGACGCGACAAAGAGCTCTCTCGATTATCTTGCGAAGATTTTGTCGAGGAACATCGACGTCATCAACGGCTCTCGAGATCGGGACTCCGGTCGGTCCGAGCTGATAGTGCATAGCGCAGATTTGGAGGCCCTGAAGGTGTCCCAGAAAGAAGTCGCCGAAGCCGTAGAAAACTTCAAAGCGGACAAACTGAACGAGTTGTGCTCGGCGCTCGCGGGTGAAGCACTATCTTACACAAATTCGAACGATAGCGACTTTGAGCAGCAGCGGGCCAACACAGAAGCGGCTCGAGTGCGTGAGGCGTGGGCCTCCGCGAGGGATACCTTGGGGGCGGAGCTCGTACAGGCCGAGGTGGCGAGAGCGCTTAGTCGCGCCGCACAGACCTGTGAGCGTCGTCTTGACGAGGCGAGAGCGTTGCGACTCACACTCACCGCGCAGGACCGCGCCGACCTCGAACTCTGGTGGCAGGCCGCGCACGACCACCTCCGCTGCGAAGTGGACGCCGCTGGACGAGAGCTAGCCGCGCGATATCGCCACGCCAGGCCTGCCCGCCGCGAGGGCTCCCCGGGGCTCGACAGCCGCGCGTTGCTGCAGCGGCTGGCCGACGTCCTGGCGCACAAGGCGCTCGTCGACGCTCGCGTGGCCGTCGTGGAGGGAACGTACCGAGCGTCTGCGCCGTCTCGCGCCGCCGCTCGAGCGGACGACGCCGTCACCTCCCTGGAGACGGACCCCGCCGCCGAGGCGGAGTTCGTCTACCTGTTTCAACATTTCTCGACCGAGTGCCGCGCGCTCTTCTCCAGTGACTGTTCCGGCAACAGTGAAGACTCGATGAAGATCTGCGAGGGCCTTGAGCGGGTAGAGGCGGCGGTCGCGGAGGCGCAGCGACGACTCGGAAGTGAAGGCGACGGTCCCGAGGAGTCCGAGGGCCCTGGCGTCGGAGTGGGACAGCGCTTGGAGGCGCTCCGTCTGCGTGTCGAGGCGCTCGCGGCGTGCCAGCACTGTGCGCGCCTGCAAGACGCACTGGAGCGGCTTAAGGCGGAACGCACGCGAGGCGAGTGTGCGTTGGCCCAACAGGCGGGGGCATTGGCGGCGGCGAGACGGGCGAGGGCGCAACTGCAAGCCCAACACGACCGCGAAAGAGCCACGCTAAGAGACCGCGCCCGCACGTTGCAGCGTCGCCTTGCCGCGCTAGACTCGGAGTACTCCGCTCAGTTGGAGAGCTTACGAGCCGCTTATCAGGTATGACCTGTAATATATTTTTTTCAATTTATCCCCGTAATTCGATAGAAATAATCTAGACTATCAATTGAAACGAACCAAGTTTTGTACAAGAAATTGAAGATTTTGCTTTTTCTGCAGAGCGCGGTGTCGGCGGATACGCACGGTGACGGTCTTCGTGCGCGTTACCAGCAGGAGATCGAGCAGCTACGCGCACTTTGTGAAAAGGGGCTCATGGCTATGGAGAGCTCCCATCGTCGTATAGTCAGAGAGATGGAGGACAAACACCGTGCAGAAAGAGAACAACTCAGGTTTGCTTTAATTGAATTAATATAATTAATTAAACCATCAAATAAAATACAATTGTATTTTATTTGATGGTTTAATTCGGCCCCTGTGTTAACTTATTAATTTAAGTCTAAAACACAGTAAGTTGAAAAGGTGCACGTATTTTCATGACGCTTATAATCAATTAAATTATCGTTATTTATACAGGTTGGAGAAGGAACAGGCGCTTGCAGAAGAAACACGAGCAACGTTGGCAGCGCTCGATGCCATGAGAAAAGCCCATGAAAGCGAGGTGCGAAGAGAAGTCGATAAGTTCAAGCAGGAGCTACTGGCTCGAGGGGCCCCAGACCTCTCGCAAATCAGCACAAGGCACCAGTCAGTATCTTCAAAATATCCTTTAGATTATTGAATATTTTTAATAGATTTTTTTGGGGCAGTAAGTTTCCGCCTCATTAATTGTAAAGATAAAGCCGAATTTGCTTTGACGTGATTATTTTGTTGTATGATTTCTCCTTGTCTGAACTAAAAAGAAAAATATGGGTTAATACAATGTCAACGTTGCAGGCAAGAGATGGACGAGATAAAGCGAGAGATACTATCCTTGTCGGAGAAGTATTCTATAAAGTGCGTGGAAAGTGCAGCGCTGGAAGAGCGACTGGCCAATGCCAACGCGCAACTTGCGCACGCGCACAATCACATCATGCAGCTCGACTCCAGGTATCTACAAAATTTTATTTTTAAAGCCGCTTTTATTAATAATATAATAGATTCCCTTTTCATATATTCTCTCAGATGCTGTATTCTGATTTGATGCCTTTGACTTAACAACTAATCATTTTGCTAGAAGCAAACCTAATAAATTTAAAATACTTTTTCTAAGTAACAAACTCTTTACGAATGATTAAATATATCTTTTAACTTTTTTTAATTTGACATTCTAGAAACAAACAACTCCGGGCTCATCTCATATCTGAAGCGAATGACTTGAAGGCTTCAGAAGCGTCTACTCTCTCGCAGCTCATAGAAGACACTGCGCCGGTATGTTCCCTATAATGCATTTAACCAACATCGCTTAACTTAGCTAGTATCTTGTAGTTAAATGCTTGCATGACATTCATTCAACGTGGTAGTTCTAAGTCATAAATATTTCATACACGCCAACATCCACAAACGTCCATGCACAGAAATTCTATGTAAAAATTAGATTCTTCTACACTAAGCATAATAGATCGCACAAATTGAGCTTACTGAAAACTACTTACCTTTTGTAATTATCCTTATAAACACCAATTTATCTTATTGCTTCACTATTAAATAATTTCGTAAAAAATTTTGGGCAAACGAAATACTTTCTTTTGGAACGCAAGTGGCGATTATATCGCAGTAGCGTTATTAATGATTCTAAATAGTACTCAATGAATGCGATCGCAGTAGTAGATAGTATCATAATTGCATCGTCGGTTGTCGGGTGCACTAACAGCATGCGCGGGAGGCGCCTCTCTGGGACCACTTGAGGCAGTTGGCGGCCGTCTGGCAGAACAATGCTGCAGGTAATATTTCACTTTGTGTCCAAAAGCCCTAGTATTAAAAAAGAATGCAATTCATATTACATTGTGATGTTATATTTAAATTTTCATTTTTTTCGCCCGTATCCCTAAAATATCTTTGATGTTATGTTTAAGTACACGATGCGGTATTGTAAATAAAAATAGTTTTACATAACGTTCCTGGTTATAGAATTTATTTGATACAAGGACGTGCGCAATACAAAAATCATATTTAGCTTACTTTGGGTAGCGGGATTATATTGTAATTTGGTTCTCGATTAATGTACTAAATTTAACGGCCCAAAAGTGTTCACAATAAGCCCGAACAATCACTCACATGTCAAATGATTTTTTGACAGATGGGCTAGTAAGTTTGTTCGAGACTTAAGGCCCATTTAGATGGGGAGAGTTTCTCGCACGTTTTGGTGCGAGAAATAGTACGCGACTATCGCCCGCAATAATCGCCATAAAATTATCGTATCAAAATATTTACATACAGGCAAGAACTAAATTCTCACCTACGATAATGTCATATAAGAATCGCCAGTGATTTATAGGTAGGCGATAATTTCCTGCGTCTACACATCGACATTTTAGTAAGAAGATTCTTACTTACGAGAAACTCTACTAGTATAAACACGATCTCGTATGAGATTTTTTTATGTTCATGCGTGTATCGTACAAATCGGTTTGAACCGTTTTGAGTGCGAGATGTGTCATTCGAATTTAGTAGGGTTATGATCAAAAATGTCACAAAAACTCTTTTAATTTTGGGGCTGCCAATAATATTAAGTTAATTGAACTTTATAGAAGTTACGAGTGTTTGTTGAACACTGAAAAAGAAAATAATAAAAACTCATTTTTTAACCCAAAATCTTTTTTCCGTTTCCGTTTAATTAATTCTTGTACTAATATTTAAAATACCCTCAAGCACTGCACTCATGGCAACTGGCACAAAACCTCGAAATACGATTATTGCTTTTGAAATTCTGTTTACACGGACACATTAAACTTTCCATTGCGAGGCAATTCTTGCCAAAGTGGAAGAGCGAGAGGTGTGAATGTTTAGACGAAGAAACTTTTTTATATTCTTTCGATAATCTTACATTCGAGACGAGAAACTCCATCTAAATGGGCCTTTACTGATTCTTTTTACCAATAATGAGGCTTGGCTTAAAAATTCAAATGAAATACTGTTTAGTAAAACTATTTCATCCAACTTACACTGCATTGCATGAATTAACTTAGCAAATATTAGTTTTTATATAACATTAATTTTAGTTTTTGGTTAACTAACAAATATTTCGAGTGTTTGTTGACTACTTCTAGCACAATTTTCTTCCAATTTGATTTTAATTGCAAACTAATTAACTTGAAACGTGAGTTTAACTCCTACTAGTGGAACTATTACCTACTATTAGTAGTTAATACTTAGGTACTTATATTTAAAAAGATATCTAGAATAATTGAATGTATGTGTAGACGAGGCCGACTCGTTCAAGTCCTCTGCTGGAGGCGGCTCGTCCGAACCGTCCTGCGAAGATCCAGTACGCCAAAACAGAGACCACCAGAAACCTACAGCTGTCTCCCGTTCAGGTACAGTCATTTTATCTACGCCCTTGCGAACTGGTAGTAAATATTAATTTAGAATTAATTTAACTTCTTTTCTGACGTTTATAAGTGTACTTGTTTACCTATGAATAAAGTAATATTTCTTTCTTTATTAAAGTAGTCTTCGGAAAAAATAATTTGTTATACTGTCACGCACGGTAAAAAGGCCACGTTATTTAATAAGTCGTATTAAAATTGCATTTTTTGTAAATGTGATACTTAATTGTCGAAAATATATTATATAATGTTGTCTTCATTGTGTATTTTATGTTTGCGTTAACGCTCATGGTTACTGCACTGCCAGGATTGAAAAATTTTTTAAACTAAATTAGACTAACTTCGGTCTTCCCTTCAATTATATGGAAATAAATTATTTAAAAACGCAGACACACTGAAGATTTTTTCTTTCTTTTTCAGAACTGAAATCTAAGCAGCGGTGCTCTGACAGCGGTCGCAACCTGCTCGTGGGTATGGTCGCCGAGAGAAAGAAACGATTCGAGCTGTAGCTTATCTTTATACAGATTATTACAGTATTCATTATTGTAATATTTATCTGATACGCCACTCCCACCACGCTAGCACCTGGCCACTATGCTTAATATGGAAAACTATATAAATACTATAATTTGACGCACTTTTTTCGTTAATACTTTTCATTTAAAAATGTATTTGGTTAAGAAGTTATTTAATAGTAATTATTACGTCGATATTATACTCGTAAGACCAAAAGGATCAAGTGGCCAGAACACTCCCACCCACCACATTGTATATTGTTTTTTAATTTTATTATGTCTGAATATTGAAACGTAGTGTGAAGATGTGCTTCAATATCCAGTCAGTTGTATATCTTGTTACTTGTAGCGTGTTCAGTATATTTTAGTATTGGTTAGTGATTTGTAAACTTGTAACATTGTAAATACTAACTTTCCCTATCCCTTAGCACTTATCTTAAGGAGTTTGTTACCAAATATTTTCTTATTTATGAGTTTTATGACACTTACTTAGTTTTCGACATGAAATTGGTCCGTGTCGCTTTAGTATAGGCTTGTTTATTTTTTTGTAGATTTATTAATAGACTTATGTATTCGGATGTGGGAGATATTCGTTTTGGAACGTTAAGTATAGTTTAGTGGCTGTTATAAATTTTCAAAAATACATATGTGTCATTATAAACAGCTATTGTTATAACAGCCAGTGTAAGTCGTGTTGTTACCGCGAAGGGTCTTCCAGCACGTTGTTGTGTACAGACACAGACGCACGGATGTGTGAGATTGCTCAATTGTTTCTAGTTGCGTCAAACCAAAAGCTTTTGTCGGCGCAAACATTACTTAAATTAAGTTTTCATAATTTTATTTTACATATTTACAATGAATTTAAATAATTTTTGCGCTGAAGTCGAAAATATTAATGTTATCTCCCTTAAACTGTCGTAGTTGATTGTAAAGTGTTGGTTTATATAACAAAGATTTTTAAATAAACTACTTAATACAACATTTATTTTATTTAATATTATTAAGGCAAGTACAATAACATATTCGTAATAAAAGTTCTAAACGATTTACACTATTTGTAAACAATAGAAAAGTCAATAAATATGTACTAGTCTATCTTAATTTAAAATACTGCTATAGGCCAATAAAAACACATAATGGTGTGACCTTCACACAAGGCATGAGAAAAAGATTTAAATTTTATGTGTTTACCCAGGACCAAATGATAATATGCCAGATAAAAAAGGTTTAATTCAACAGTAGATAAACTATAAATATTAAAGAATGTAGGAAAATACCACAAATCATTTGCATCATGAAGTTCTTTGCAAAGCGTTTGGAGGATTAACATTCAGAGTATTTACCAAATAAAATGCTCTAAACTTTACATAATCATCACTTTGAATGTTGTTACGTATCTACAAGCATATCTGACCATGTTGCTCAATATAAAGCACTATATAACTGTTATGACCTGATCATAAAATCAACCACATTGTAAAATACCATTTCATTAATTATTTTATTGACCTTTGCTTTCAATTTTATTCAACTGACCTGATCAGTTCATCAATGGTTCAATTTTTTATGAATTTTACAATCCGACCACAATATTTTATATACCAGCTCTACAAATTTAAAGTTGAATTAAAGGTGGAGCAGGCTCTTCTCTAGCTCTCAACCTGGCACGCCACTCACTACGATCAGCCAGTATGTTGCGTCCAAAGGCGGTATGAATGTCACGGAAAGGTACCTTCTTACGCACTACTTCAGGTTTTATATTTTCTTTATCTGAAATTACCAATAGAAATTCACATACATACTTCAAATTATAATTGTGATTTAAATTGTTACAGTTAATAGCAGATACACTTTTGTGTCTGTTTCTATGCCCTAACTTGTTTTTTTGCAAAATATCCTTGTTCAGCATCAATTACTTACGATGCCTACTTCCTGTCACAGTTTTTGGCTCTCCATCTGCCATTTTATTAAATGGGTTGTGTCGTTGGCCACGTGGGGGTACCTTAGGTTCTTCTTCACCTTCAGGTGGTGTAATTGTAACTAGTGCCGCTGCTTCTGCAGCATCTTCAGCTGCAAATTTTTAAAGCTATAAATTAATCTACCTTCTTATCTGAAGGCCTATATATAAGAAAATGCAGAACATCTAAAATCAAAAATTAATTGTTTTAATTGTAACATTATTGAATAATTATAAACAAGAATTACAAACCCTGAGCTTCATCAAGTTGCCTCTGCAGTTCTGAAACCATAAGCTTCATATAATCGTAACTTGCACATGCTAAAGCTTTCATCCAAGCCTCCATAGACGCCTGTGAGTTGGTACATAGAAAGTAAGTCCTACTACCTTCACAGGGGAATACTATTTTAAAGCTATAAGACTCCTCTTCTGTCAATTCTGTAATAAATAACCTAATATAGTATAATATTAATAATTCATGTTAAGAACAAAATCTAACAATACTTCTCTGTGTTTGTTTCCGACACAGTGATGTAATTATGTATATATCAACAAGATATATATATAACAAGAAACTACGAATAATTTGCTTGATATCACTTACCTATTGTGCAACCCTCTAGAATTATTACGCCAACAGGTTCTTTATCTCCTTTCTTATCAAAGTAGAACAAAAGATTTCCCTTAAGAGTAAACCAACGTCGCTGATAGTTTTTCCCTACTTCTCCCCGTAAATCCAGCCATCCCTCGCGGTCCACTGGTGTAGCGGACGAAGCGAAAGCACACAAATTCTTGTCATTTATCTTCATAGTGAAATTTTAACATCAATCACGAAAAATTAATGAAATATTTGCATAATTGTTGTAGTACTTGCAGCGCTGAATATTAATTTTAACTATCAAACAAACGTAGAGCGTTACGTACTTATGTAATTAAGAATTATATTTTCTACGTGTTTTTTTGAATACGTAGGAATTACTATTTTTGTAATATCCAAAACAAAACAAATAATAAAAATTTATTTGACAGTTAAAATATTGTTATTGCCGAAGCATACTTCAAGTCTCAAGAGATAACTCATTACTCAAGTCTTAGAGGATATATTTTGACAGTTTGCAACTCTAAAGTACTCATAACCACAGATGATACACTAGAAAAGTCATCCTTATCTATGGCTATTACCTAATAATTAGTACACTACCTCATAATAATCTTCCAAAATATATGCTTCAGTTGGGACTTGGGAATTTGTCTTAAAGGGGTAACGGTGCGATAACGATGCACCCGAATCTGATGATACTGATTATGCAGGAGTCTTAGGGGACCTTCATTGGATCGTTATCGCACCCAACCCCTTAAAGGATATATCTAACCCAATACAAATTTGGGATCAATTACCTGTTGTGACTAATTGCCATATAAATTAAATGCTGCCACTTGCCAGTAAATTCGCCTGAATGTAATCAATATGAACATAACAATGTACGTAAGGATGATGCTGATATTCGTAAATTCGAAACTATCATAGGAACTCGAAAAAAAGTCAAGGTCAATAGCGGCCTTCACACGTGCAGTTCGGAATGGCATTTCTGGAACTGCGCACCAATCTGCAGATAAATCTGTGCAGACTAGACCGCGCGCTGATCTGTGCTTCTACTTTACGCTGAAATTGTAATAACAGTTTGAACCGCGTCTATTTCGCTTTCCTGCAGATAAAACTGTACGTATAAATGCTTTTCGAGAGTTTAGATCGCAGTATGGAATGGCGCGTGGAATGTCGACCAATTTGAAAAGTTTTCTTTCAGTTTTAACCGGTACAGTAGAAATGGATACACGTCTAGTGATCGCGTTAGCTGGTTTCGTGGTTGGTTTTAATAATCTAAAAAGGAGACGTGTATGGGTTAAGAAATATAGACGAAAATTTGGACATTTACCCATGTTAAAAGAAATACGAGAAAACTATCCAGAAGATTTTAAAAATTACCTAAGGATGGACGGCGATAATTTTGATTGCTTATTGGAACTTATCCGTCACAGAATTACTAAGCAAGATACAGTTATGAGAAAATGCATAACACCAGAAGAACGTCTTTCCGCAACATTAAGATATCTGGCAACTGGACGTTCATTTGAAGATTTAAATTACGGTTTGTATAAGCCGACTTATTTTTAACTTGCCATAAACATGGATGTTCCCGATATATCCTTATAAAACCTGTCACTGCTTCCACGCTCCAAACTGCCATTTTGAAATAATTGTCATCCACACGAGGTACCCGCATAAAACTGTACAAACGTTCGAACACACCAATGCGCCGCATCGAACTGTCAAACCACCACGCGCTTGTCGCGTCTACACGGACGGAATGGACGGCAGATCGGAATGGCGCGGGCTGTTTCCTACGGTTCGAACTGTACGTGTGAAGGCCGCTATTTGTCGCGTCTACACGGACGGAATGGGCGGCAGATCGGAATGGCGCGGGCTGTTTCCTACGGTTCGAACTGTACGTGTGAAGGCCGCTAATAGGTCTAAATCTTATAGATAAATCCCTTCTTTAGTCCTTATCTGGAGTCTGAATATTTACAATGGGGACACTTGTTTTAAAAGTGGTACGCCGTTTGTATGTTTTAACATTATACCTTAAGCCTCTACTTCTAACTAGTGGTTAAATAGAAAACATAATGCAACAGACAATATCACATTTATCAAGAACGATGGCGTTGCTATAAGCAAATGCTTTTATACAGTACTTATATATCATGCACTCTTTGTTCAACTTCTTGAAGTGAGTTTTAATAAAACAGAAACAGTATTCAAAAAAACCGAATGAGGTAGGTAGGTAGTTTTTTTAGAATAAAAAGTAGATGTATTTAAAGTTCCAAACAATTCCTACAGTTTTTGAACCTCACTTGGGAAGAAACATGGGACACTATATGAAAGAAAGATATTTTAAATATGTAATATTTTATTCATAATTATTATTACCTATTTTCAGTTATTTATAAAGTTATATTAATATCAAGTATTATACTAACATTTTGTTTTACGAATCCTAATGATTGCTCCATTTAGAAAATTTGATTTCCACATCAATCATTGGATTTGATCTTAAACCTAATATGGTGAGGTCTATTTACAGTATAATCCCAATTCCCTAAAAAAATTGACAATTCACAATAACAAAAAAGGTCAAAAACGAAATCTTAAAAATAATTCATTCAACTACAAATCTCGCTTAACAACTGTACAAAATATTCCGAGTGGTTTCTTTAAAATGTGCTCCATTACACAATGGCAAAGTGGGCAAATAATTAACGGTACATCGTTACGTCGCATATTTACAGAATGTCCTTTTACAAAACAAAATATAAACTATATACAACATCATAAAATATTCTCAAATGCTGTAACACATTTAAAACATTTCATACATATTCAACTAGGCATAATTCAATTAAGTCGCGATTGAGACGACTACAGATAATAAATTATGTAAAAACGAAACTCAGCCGCCGTCCCATACAAAGTCTGTACAATTTGTCTAATATCAGTATCGCCGCTAGTGATACTATTATAACTTTTCGTAATCGATTAGATAATGAAAATGTCATGCTTAAATAAAAATTGATTTTATTTTGTCTTCCATAAATTATATGATTATAAATGATTTCAATCTAAAGGCCCAAAACATTTTTTAAAAGCGTTATCCACATCACTCTCAACTTATACATGTATAACAACTTCACACCTCTACAATATTGACTTTAACATTAAATATATTAAAATAGAAAATTTCATATAACTACCAAACTGCCCGAGATTCGACGAACCAACATTTTCTCATCATAATTACATTTAAATATTTTATATAAAACGATTTCTAAATATACAAATGCTAATTCAAATGTGACCCTAACTCATGTATTATCTATTGTAAATCTAACTATTGGTGTTCCTAATTACTTAAAACCCAAGAGGTACACGTACATAAGAAAACAGTGTTGACGGTGGTTAAAAGGTTTCATCCACCTGAGTTCGCTCACGCTTGGCAGTTGGTTATATTATATATTATTGTAGCAAAAATTTTCCTAGTAAAAATCTTGTCATAACACTTTTGAAAATTGCCATTTGCTCCCAATTTATAAACGGATTTGACCTTAAACGGTCACTAACTACGAATTTCATCATTTGAACATAAAATAACCAAATAAATATTGTTTTACACATTTGAAAAGAAATATTTTTAACACAATTTTGATTTAAATTCATAAAAAATAACCCTGTGATGCAATCTCTAAAAATGTTTAAAAATATCTAAAAACTTCTTAAAAGAAATATCTAACTTTGGTAATTGATACCGGTTTGATAAATAAAACATTGCAAATATATACAGTACAATACAACAACACATTTACAATTTCTAGATTTCGTGGAGTTATAATTAAACTAATGAGAAGACGGGAGGGAAACACGAAAACATCTATATCTATCTATTGCCAAGTGATACTAAAATTCCATATTTCAAACCATCTCAAGTTAAAATCTAGTCTCGAGTAATGTGTCAACTTTCAGATATGACAGATCTTAAACCTAGATTTAAGTTTGATTCACGTTTTGGGATACGGACCTATGTGTACTTTATAGTAAATTAAGCACTCGACTATGGATATATTTTATGAATCAAACATACTTAGAAATATTACTAACAATATTCGAAGGAATAAATGTTGAATTGATGAAAATGAGGTACGTTTCGGAAACTGTTGAACGGAATCAATATGGAAGAATGTAACAGAAAGACACAAATGGAAGAGTAATTATTATCGCACGTATAAAATGCCCTTACGACTAACACGACGCAGGTGTTAATTAGCAAATTGGACCTTCGAGATTATTTACTAGAACATTCTAGAACATGGCTTATATAAAGATATATTCTCTAGTTGTTTGTGTTGTATTTGGTTAAACCGAGCTTAATCTCTTTTATAATACAATACTTACACCATATTTAACACGAAATAAAAAAATCTATTTTGGTAATATTTTAGAAGTAAAATTGGCACAATACATAAAATAATTGAAGACAACTGAGGATTAAGCTTTTTGGATTTGTTTCTTTACAAAATTCTTTAGTTTTAATGCTAAAATATGATACAGAGCTAGCTATTAAATACACCAGCCTGCAGAACCTTGGATGTTTAATTTGTTTTGTGGTCATAAAAGACAAGCATTTAAAGCCATACAATGAATTAAGAGCTAATGTTTACTGTTGTTAAAAAATTTCAATAATAATAATCGCTTTGAATTGATCAGTTTTTAAAATTACATCTGTTATATGCTTTTCGCATCGTTCTCTAATTCTGGTTTAATAGGACTTCTAAGTTCGTAAAGTTTTGCCTTTATCTTAAAGATCGGCGTCTTACGAATTGTACATTGAAGAATCAATCACTGGCAGTGAATGTCCGCTATAGTCACTGAACTTCCGAGTTGCGTCTTCAGCCGAGAGCGGCTGCGGTGTGATAAAGCTGCATAAGGACCTGCACGTGCAGTGGTAGACAGGACATCCGGTCGTGAGTGGTGCCGTCCAGTGCTAGCCACGATAAGGCGTTGTATCCCTCTAATACGTATCTGCAAATAATAAAAGTTTTCTATAAGAACTTTGCAGAAAATGAAGATTATGCACCTTAACATAGTATTGCTGGATAAGATTACACTTATAATAATTTGTTATAAATAAATAAACGAGTTGGGTACCTGAGTACATCAGTGGTGGTGGTGGAATCGAGAGGATGCGCGTTGTGGTCGCGGCGCTGTGTGAAGGCGTAGTCATCGTTAGGCAAAAGGCTGCACTGTAGGTGCAGCGCGTTCTTAAGGAAGGCGGGGCAGGCGTCGCGCAGGTGTGCGCAGCCGGCCCACCACCAGGCAGGCATGGAACCGAGCGGAGCCGTCGACACCAGGTAGCCAAGCGCCAGCGGCTGTTGGAGCACCGTGCCCACTTGCTCGGGTTGCGGCTCGTGGTCGCGGGCGTAAGCTCCGACGGCAGCGGCGGCCGGCCCGCCGGGCGGGCTTCCCTCGCGGCTTCCCGGCTCGTCGTCTCGACGCGGGGAGCCTCCGCCCTGCCAGCATTGGAACATGTCGGTGATGAGCAGGTCCGCCATCTGATCCTCGCCGATGTCCTCGTCGACCATCTCGAGGCCGATGAGCAGCATGTCGTTCTCCTCGCCGTTGGCAGCGGGCTGTTCGTAGGGCATCTGGTTGGACTGCGTGGTGGCCGACGTCGGGAAGACGAGAATGTGCGTGGCGGTGACGTCGCGTGGCGTGTGCAGGTGGGATTGGATGGAGGCCTTCGAAAAGCGCTCGTCGGGCGTGAAGCGGTCGGCCATGAGCCGCAGACAGGGGTCGGGCTCGGTGGACACGAGACAGGCAGAGAGGATGCAGGGTGCCCCCGTGGGGTATAGGAGAGAGCAGCTGCCGCACATCTCGCGCAGCGTGGTCGACAGGCGAGACAGATTCGGCCTGGACAGCAGCCAACTCCAACCTACAAGACAAGTGATATCATTTTAAGATTGATTGTCTTTCTCATTATCATTAAATCCAATTCGTTTGTTTTCTTATGGATCCATAAAAACCAACGAAACACTTAGATTGGTAAATTATTAGATATTTCATTTATTAAGTATTTTACTAATAAGTACAAACCTTTGAGCTCGCCATGCCCTATCCGCCCTACTCGTCCCACTACCAGCCTCCAAGGTTGAGCGGCCTGTGACATTACGCCCAGCGCGAAATCCATCAGCTTCGTCAGGCCATGCCTTCGTGCAGGACCACCGCGTTTTCGGCGCGATCTAAATAAAATTTATTTCATTAAAGTTTCCGATTGGAAATCTCGGCCTTCTGTATATTACATCCACAGTACATATATACGGCTTGTATTTGTATTAAAAAAAAATGTAAATTGAGATTAAAATAATTACTACTGGTGCGTAACTTCTTTCACTTATTAATTGGTTTGTTTACAGTTGCTCTACAAATAATTGGCTAATACGTAGTTACTGATTTACCTGGCAGGTACATAGATATTAATAGCGGCGGTGTCGAGTAGCTCCCCGCGTGCATCAGTGGCAGAAGCTAGCAACCAGCGCTGGTCGTGGGAGAGGCAGTAGGCCACGTAAAGTACGGCGCCATGTTCGCCCGCCTGTCCCCATGTCTCTGCCACTTCTTTGGGTGCGCGAGGAGGAGCCAGCACCCACGCCGGTGAAAAGAGACGGTACGGCGCGCGGTTTTTCTCCTGAAAGGCAACATTTTATACTATTATATTGCCTATTTAAAAAAAATCATTGTATTTGTATAACATCGTTATTTGTCTGTAACAAAAAAAAAATAAAAGTGGAAATGGTGAAAAAAAAAGTGGAGCAAGAAAGTACAATAAAAGAAAAAGAGGAAGACAAATTAGACTTTAAAACAAAAGTAAATTGCGAAGTATATTTTAAGTTTTTGTAACCAATAGCCGTTGTACTCACGTCTTTATTAGAAACGAAGAGATTAGCGTCCGCAGCAGTGCCGAAGCCCGTGAGCGATTTTCCGTTGGGCGTGTGCGCAAGATTGCGGCGTGCGCTCGCGAATACGGTAAAGGCGAGTGCGCGAAGTTCTGCTACGAGACCCGGCTCACTCGCCGCCCCGCCACCGCCCGCCCCACACCAAGTCTCGCATACACCCTCCAAGGATATGATCTGTAATAACACATTGCAGATAAAGCATATACATAGACAGAATAGACGAGAGAACCGTAAATGTCAAGATTTAGGTCAACACCTAGAACTAATAAGGTGCCTACTTTTTACTACATACCTTAATAAGAGGATTGTGGTGATGAAGATGATGATGCGCCTGCGCAACAAGTCGTAATAGGGCGTGCAATGCTCGTGGGCGATGCGCATGTGCTGCAGGTGGCTCCACAACATAGAGCACGAGGGCGGGCGGACCGCCCTCTTCTTCTTCCCAGGCGCTGCTAGCCGTGCCCAAACCGCCCGTTCCGCTATCTGATTCCGGCTCAGTTCCACCCGCCCCGCCTGGAGTATCCGGTCTGTCAGGCGCAGTTGGCGGTCGCATTGCTCCTGTACTATTTGGTGCTGAAATTTAAGAAGAAAATAAAAGATAATCATTTCTTCTAGATTCATTCAATTAATGGTCGTATAAAACATACATTTTAGCAGGCATAGCAAATTGTTAATATCTAATAGCCATTGCATTTAAAATTAAAAAATTACCAAAAAAAATTAACAGGTGACTCACATTCGAACAACGTCTTATCGACGTTTAAAGCGGCTAGTTGCGGTACTAGGTTCGCCCGCAAGGTCTCTGCGTATGCGCGCACGTATTCTCCCAAACGCCCCGGTGGTAACTCGCCCGTCCATTCCTCGCAATTTGTATCCCTGGAATATTTAATGATGTATTAAATACGTTGTTTCAATATTCTCCATTACGACTTACTTTTTCGTCATAATTTGTACAACTATAGGTAAAATATTATAAAAGTGAAGTATACCTATCAATTTCAGCTGGTGCAGTCCTAACAATACCGTCCCTCGCTATTCTGGATATCGGTTGATGCCTTCCCAGCTTCGCCGCTTCATAGGAAGCCGAGAGCTCTCTAAAGAACGTCCGCACCGGCTCAGTCAGTGCGTCACCGTCTGCAGCGAGTACAACGTACGCGACATCCCGGCTATACGAATAAGGTTCTAAGGCCAACCGCTCCCAATGCCGAAGCGCGTAGGGAGACAGAGAAACCCAGTCCCGATCGTGGCCTACAAGTAGCGGAGGGACCGGTTGTGGCTCGCAGCGGTCTTCGTTGCCTCGGCCGGCTAAAAGGTGGAACTGTCGCCACGTGAGCGGCCCAGTCACCCCGTCCCACATGCGAGCGCCCGCGCAACGCTTCTGTATCGCGTCTTGCAGTAATGGTCGAAGGCGGCGCATTAATCTGTAAATATAATGTATCTGTGTCACAGTGTGCGAATGTGATATAGTGTAATGATCGCTAAAGTTTATAAAATTAATCAAAAAAAACTAATCCGAGTGTATAAAGAAGATATTTATACACAATTAAAGCAGTAATTTTCTTTATACATTACAAAGTTATATACCTCACAACATCTCTTGAAGACCGCGGCGCACGCGCACCAATGAAGGGCCATCGATGCACCGCCCCCATCGTGATTCCATTCTTGTTCTTAGTGGCCGTGATGGATATAGCGCCGCCAGCTGCCGCACGGAGCGCACACATTGCTGCCGCACCGCCATCTGAGTATCTGATACATTCGCGCATATTATTAGCCGACCTACATTTTCAATACAAAATAACTTATAACTATATATGAGTTAGGATATCTTGCTCAGCAATTAATGTAACAAAATGATGTTAATTAGGTTAGCACAATATTATTAGCCTTATATATATATATATAGTACAGGCTAGATAGTAATTCATATATAGTTGCTTTTTTAGTAGACGAAATGTTTCGTCATTATTCTGAATTCTGATTGGAAACAATCAAAGAATCACATAGATTGAGTTGATTTGTCATCACAAAAGTAAAAACAAAATTAAAATCTAGTGTCGATCTCTTATTGTTTGCCCCATAAATTTTGGACGAACTTTATGTATGTACATTCCTTGCATACTTCTTACATGATTTGTACCCCAAATAGCCATCTAACAAATTGCATAACGCACAATTGCAATAAGTTTGACCGGTGCGTATGGGAAATGGTTATACGTACTCGAGCAGGTTGAGCCGCGTGTCGGTATGGGTCGGGGCAAGGGCCGCGGCGGCCCTCCTCGCGGCGCGAGATAGCGCAGAGGCGGCAGAGGCAGCGGGTGCAGCGCACAGCGCCACCACCACGCTAGCCACTTCGCCTAACGCGTCTCCCGCACCGCGACGCCGCGGCTCTTCCGCTACGCCAGTTATCTCCAATTCGTCCTGTGCACATACAGTATATTAATTAAATAGTGATATTTACACTAAAGAAAAATAAGGTAATAAATTAGCCGTAGAAAAGGTAATACAACTTATTTTTAGCAAATTGTACATTTGATAATACCTATAACATATAAGCATATCTTAAATTTAAAAAAAAATCAAAAGATTATTTATTCATATACGTAACACAATTTACATTTACGAACGTCAGTTACAGTAAAAAAAACAAAAAATGAAATACTTTTTACATTTATCAGTTCTAAAATAAAAAAACATAGAACGGAAGAAAAGAACTTACAATTTTTTTTTTTCAAGTTGGTTGGTTGTTGGTTTACGTGAAATAATAACTGATTATAAAGTTTTGATCAGCTGGTTTTATGACTTTATTTACTTAAATTATTGTAAAATAACGTACCTCGTAAAAGAGTCCAGCGCGGTGTGAGAGTCGTCTATTAACGACAGCGCTAAAACCACACGAACATCGAGTTGGCTCTTCATCTGCGCCTCCCCAATCCACGCCACACAAGTAAGTAGATGCATCCGCTCCTCGAATGTTTCCCACGCTCTATATAATTCATAAACATTACAGAAATTCAAGTATAGTGTGTAATTAAAGCAAGAAATACGTCAATACTGCGTATGCGTTGTGAACTCCGTTGGATTTGTGGAATACTATATAGCTCTCAATTTTTATAACAACTTTTACTATCAAATAGATGTTGAAGATGACATTAATAAATTAAAAGATGACTTTAACAATAATTTAATTGGTCTTGATATCTTAAGTACAACAGGATTTATTCAAGACCAATCACTTATTATATGGCTTATATATTTATATTTATTAGCCATAATATATATTTATATTATATATATTATGGCTTAGCTGCGCATACGTTGTTATATAAAACTCACCCGTCCACTGGCGTTGCAGACACACAGTGTGCAACTGTCAAAGTTGTGATCTCTGAAGACATTGAGCACCGTGTCCGCGAGAAGTACGTTCAGAAGTAGGGGACAGGCTGGTGCAGGGGTGCGAGGTGAGGCGGGGGAGGGCTGTGGGGGTGCAGCTCGGCGAGGGGAGGGGAGGGCCCGAGAACGTCCCGTACTGGACGTCGTCGATAGAGCTCGCTTAACCCCACCAGTGGTGGTTGTGGTGTTGCTTGTACTTGTAGCGCCTGCAATTGTATGGTAATTACTAAAATTTCAACATTGTTGAAAATAGGGTTTTAAGTTTGTTCAGTTTGTTCAGTTTTAAGTCTACTATCACATCACTTACCCGTCGATTATCTATACTATTATGTTGAGGTTTTAACATACACTAAAGTACTTTTCTAACTTTAAAAAAGGAAAAAAATATACCTGCTTCCGTCGTTGCATGCGCATGCGACGCATCATGTTCTGTCGTGTTAGAGTCGTGTTGCCATCGCGGGCGGTACACGGCGTGAGGCGGCAATACCACAGGCGGTAACAGCTGACTGGGTAACGTACTCAAGGGGGCGTATTTGGATGACCCCACGTACTTGTATACGGTTGCTGGCTTGAATACATACGACCAATCCTGGGAAAAAATTATTTATACCTTCAATAAGAATTTATTTTAAAACCAACCTTAATGCAGATTTGTAGATATATTGTCAGCCAACATATTGTCAATGTGATTGCTTTCTTAAAAACGTATAAAAAAATAACTTTTTGTAATCGTACACAAACTAATACAAATAATTATATTAGCTATATTTTGCAGTTTTTTAATAATAAAGGAAGAATACATACTTCGATGGGGTCTCTAGGCGGACTTCCATGACGTGTGAGTGTTCCGGCAGTTATGGTGTCGTCAGCACAAAAACCGGGTGAGGACTGCGCGTGCGCCTCCATACTGGGCGGCGTCGGGAACATCTTACTTAGCTCTTCTGCACGTACGCAGCGCACTTCTGATGACTTATTCGAGTCCGGTGGCGTTTGCACTTGTAACTGACAATTATTGCAACATTAATATAGGCTTTAAATGTTTCGGGTAACATAGAACTAAGCAAAAAGCAAACTGTAAAAATATTTAATTGTAATAAAACACTCATTTATCAATAAAGCATTCTAGAAGAAATTTACATAGCATTAAAAGTTAATTTCTATTATTATAATTATGACTTTGACTTATATGACTTATGAGTCGACTAAAACGTCACTCTAGGCAGAAGATGAGTAGATGCTTCCAATGGGAAGTCATTCCACATGACAGAACCACAGAACAAATTCGCTCATAGCCCTTAGGGTTGATTGCAAATACCCGCAGAGAAAAAAAATACTTATATACCTAAAACGATATATTTGAAACAAAGCTAAAAGCATATAAAAGCACATAACATGCAAACTATGGACAGTATAAGACATAGTAAACGAAAGGAACACTCACAAGTCTTACCGTCTCATCGCCGCTAGCGGCGTCGTCTGAGTTGTCAAAAATCTGTTCCAAATCTTTGTAAGTCGGACACAGACCGTCCAATCTAAATAGGTTTTTGTAGTCCTTCACATCCTCCTGAAAATTTAATTACAAATATTCTATTACACTTTCACAGCTTAGTTGATTATAAATATTATCTCAACTTAAGTGGCCACTTCACTTAAACTTTAAAAAACATTAGTAGGACCTTAAATTTTCAAAATTATCAGTAGAATAGGCGAAGATAACAACATGATTAGACAATAAAAAATCGAAATAATTCACAAGTTTGATTATATATTACCTATTTAGTAAAATCATGCGCAAGATGACATGGGTCAAAAACAACGAAAACGGTATACGAGGATTGTTTATGAATAACGAGGAATTTATCAGGCACTTTCGCTTCAAAGGTACGAAGATAAATACCTGTTCGACTTTCTCCTGTTTGATATCAACTCTGTGTATGTAGTCCGGTGGGCGTGTGTACTCTTGTCCCGCGTACAAATCAACACCGGTCGTACCCAGCACCAACTCCTCACGGAACTTGTTCTCGTCACTTTTGAACCGCTTCACTGGGTGCTCCAGCCTTTGTGAATTAATATATAGATTAGGTATAGATTGAGAAAACACTTTTAAGCAATTTTACAATTTGAAAGTTTACACAGATACATAAGCTTTCCGCCATGCCAATTGTGCAATTACTTTCAACAGAAACGCCAACTCCACAGTCAACCACTAGGTTTTCAGTTGGATGTTAGTAAGCTAAAAAGACGGAATATTTGTAACCAAACATTGAACACATCCATTGTAAGCTCACACAATGTTGATGCGCATTTTGGACATAATACTTTTGCGAGATTGTAATTCCCATTGATTTACTCCTATTTCAATGTGACCGTGTTTCTCGCTTTGTGAGTAATGAATAAAAAGTTAGTTTGACAGATAAATATATAGTTTTGTAATAGTTTTATAGTAAACATAAAAAAACTAACCTAAAAAATCTCTATATGTTTACTATTAATCTATGAAGTATGAACATTAAAAAATAAAATAAGTGTGGCACTCGGGGACTGCCGCGGTAAAGCTATTGCATAGCATTTTTTAAAAACTTATGCAATATAATTATATATTTATTTTTTGCAGTATCTTTTTTTCTTTGATATTAATTCAAGTTTTTAATTTGATATTAATTGAATCTACCACTCTACCAGACTCAGACTAACACGCCTATCCAATCACGCTAAACCGATGTGAGACGCAGTATGCGTTCTGTCCAGCTCTAACGCGTATTGCGTATTATCGCACCTATATTACGTCATCGTGTGTTAGGTTTATTTCGTTACGGAATTTCTTGATTCGGTCGCCGCGCTCAAAGAACGCGACAAAATCTATGCAATAGCTTAAAAATACACATTAACGCAAATATTTTGTTGCAAATAGACACATATCTATAACTAAAAGATATATTTGTCCGTGCGATATTATTTTTATATTATTGATATTTTGTTTATGATTTATGCATGTTTTGTACTTAAAAATTAAATGACTAACCAGGCGTGCACGGTGGTATAATCGTAGAGCATATGCAGCGAGTGTTCATCCTCTAGCGGGTCTAGCCGCTTCTCAGCAGCGGGTAGGAGCGGTCGCCGCGGCAAGGGCACCGAGGTTGTCCCAGTGCCCGCCCCCGCCCCCACCGCACTGGGCGACTGCCCGCCCGTTGTGCTTAACGTGCTGCCCGCCGGTGGTGAGTCGCCCTGAAAATAAATTTATAGGCGTATCTTAAAGTAATACAACTTATATTCAGCGTTTATATAACAGTGTAGATAACCAACTATTTATTTGGATTTTAACGTTGTTTTCAATATCTCATAACCACTTTGTTTTTTTTACTTTAGTAAAATTGAGTGCAAAATTGGATTGATGAGTGTTGTGTGTGAGTGTTGATGTTAAAAAAAAACTATCTTCACCACAATATTGTTGATTACCATTACATAAGTATTTACTTAAAACAGAAAGAAAAATAATTTCTTAAGTTAACTCAAACTCAAAATATCTTTATTCAAGTGGGTAACCAAGTACACTTTTGAATTAGGTTAGGTTAATATGTATTAAGATAATAAGTTAATAAATAATTAGAATAAAAAATATTTCTTTTTACGTTTATGTAAGCCTTGGCTAAAGATGTGTACCTGAGTAAACAGCTTATGATTATGATGAGAAGGCGGAGCGGGTGTGGGTGGAGCCAGCGGGTCTGGCGTTGGAGCTGGCGTATGCAGCGTTGTGGGTACGTTTGGACCCTGAAATACCCAATATATATTAATTTAATTCCCTATATTGCGAAGTAAAATATATCAATTATACTGACAATTTAGTTTGATATAATAACAAAGAATATTTCAATTGTTCATAAATAGTGTTAATTTTACGATAATTAATATTAAATAACACTTACATAAACTGATTGATTTCTTAAGTATATAATCACAAACACACAATACAAAAAATTACCTGATGCGAAGGTAAGGTGGTGTGATGGGGAGAAGGCGCCGAGCCGGGCGCAGCGGGCGAAGCCCCACCGCAACTCGCCGGCGAACACGTCCCGCGACCATTAACGCCACTGCAGTTATTGGCTCTAGAATATAACAAAAATTATGAAGATATATCTTTACTATCAATGTTTATGTGATGTTATGACGAGCAACTTTACACTAACATGGGCGAACATGATGAAGTGATAATTTATATCATTAAAACCGATGGAATATTTGTTAACCAAATTCCTTGAGTCCTAATCGACGATGTTGAAAATGGTTATACATTTGACTCAAAACAAATGAAAATAAACTGCATTATAATGGAATGACATTTAAGCGACTTAAATGTACCGAGATGAGGTAGATGTTATTATGTCCATCCATGAATCCCTTCAACGTTCATACGCCTCTTGTTCAACCAAATCTGTTATTTATGCTAAATTATCATTTTAACATAAAACAATATTAATTTACAAACAAAACATTTGTTTGAAAGGAAGCAACAAAGAGCCATTCGGATTAACATAAAATTACTTTAGATGCCGCAAAGTGCCAATATCCAAAAAGATTACAGTGATAACGAAGAATGCTATCAGTGAGCTTAGACAGATTATAATCGTTATCTTTCTCAAAGGTACTGGATAATTACAATTGTATATTATTATGATTTTTATTATACCAATAACACAAAACATGCAATTTATAAAGATTATTTGGTCATGCATAAAATGCGATACGTAAATATATTAAGGGGCATACGTCATGCATATATTATGGCATTGCATTATTATGTGAATGTTGTTTGCACTTACCTGATCTAGTACAAATTAGATGCTTGTATTGTAAGTAGTGATAAGTCGTATAACAATAAATGAAGAACCTTACGTACTTATGAAAACGCTCCAGACCCGCGAGATGCAAAGATCCCTCGAGATGAAATGAGAGTCCTTGTTACGACACGATCGAATCACAATATTAGCGTTTTTTAAACTTTGTAAGCGTTAAATGACTGTTCCAGGCCGTAAGAAGAGTATCGGTTGATGCGATATATAGCGAAAGCATTGCGATTTGCGTCTCGTTCGTGCCGCACTACTAGTGATGGTTAAAGGAGTAACCTAACATCAATCACAACCGTCTATAGCTTTTCAACTTGTGGTTTTTCTAAGCTTTCACTTGCCCCAAATTTGCCCCAAACTCCTCTCTAGACAACTTATTTGCTGGATATTTATATAAGAATTTACTTAAATGCGGCGATTGTGATTGTGTTAATTAAGCCAAGTATTTTATTGACAGCTTATCTCGTCCTGTGTGTTGTGTGTTGCGTGTGTGGGGCGTGTACTCACTGCGGGATGGGCGCGTGATGCCTTGCGGCGCGAGGAGAGCGTGGCGAGCGGGGCGGGCGGGGCGGCGCGCGGCGGTGGAAGGGCGTCGGGCGCGGGGCTCGGCGCCGCCGCCACCTGCATCACACAACGCTAGTGCCGGCCTCCACTCCGGCCGCCCCACACGCAACCTTATCACACTTTGGCCTCCCTACTGCCGCCCGATTACAGCCCCACGGCACCGATTGGGCGGATACCGCAAGCGGTTCAAAAGCTAACGCCGACCCGACTACGGTTTACGTTGCATGCTAATTTTGTTTACTGTTGACATGGTCACATTGATAGCCATTAATCGGGTAAGAAATCAAACCCGTAAACACACCCTCAACACCCCCCCACCATAGTCGAGTAGAAAAGCGGAACTGTTGTAACTGTATTTTTTAAGCGAAAGACGTATCTACACGCAAAGTGTGACAAAAGCTTGCGCGCGCGTCGTTCTACTGTGAAGATATCGACGCACGTCCGTTAATCTCGAGTTAAAGAGTCAAACGTCAAGAGTTAACACAGTAATGCATCGATAGGTTCATGCAGTATCCCTCTAAGGCTTATACTACAGATATACTAGAACATTCACATACATAACATCTACCTATCTACAACTACACCCGGCAACGCTGCCAAACAGAGCTCGGAAGGCTAAAATGGCGGAGCTCATAGGCGTCATAAATATAATATTCTTTAATATATAAAATGCATTACACACAATTTTCATACAACTACTATACTGCTCCTAACTACTGTATATAAGGATTGGAAGTGAACGATTTAATTGCATAAAATAGTTGACTTCCAAAGTAATAAAATAATAATAAAAATATGAATATAGCGATAATTGGGTAGCATAATTTTGTAACTTTTTTGTACTCACTTTGCGCAGGCGCAACCAGTTTTGCGTGTTGGGTCTACGAAGTCGTCACTCGGGTCCCCGGATGTCTCGGCGAAGCTTAACTCAGCAGTCTGAAAAATCGAAAATTGGTTAAAAATTTATATGGTAGACTTAAAAATATACGGCTATTACAATATTGTACCCATATAGGTATAACAATGATAGGTGATAATATGAGTATATTTATGCTTAGGACCAATTGTGTTTATCTAATTATTTAATTGTAGCACTGATAAATCAGTCGTTATATTATTGTTAAAGACCTGCGTTTATGCAAATTAGGACTTCAATTTGTATTTTTTTAGAATCTTTGTTTACTGTAGGAAGTTTACTCAAAACTTGAAATATCTTAATAAAAAGCTTTGTTTCCAACTTCCAAGTTAGTTCCAATTAACATATGTTGTATATCAATTAGTTATCTGTTAGAATATCAATTACTTTATTTTTTGCAATACCATTTCCGCTGTATAATTCCATGACATTCTGTCTGTCACGCCTTAAGGCTATGTTAATTAATAAAGGCACAGTTCGTTATGAATTAAACAAAAGCATTATTAAATATATTATCACTGTTATTGCGGCTACTGCCTAATCAATGCTGATTGATTGATTTTTGGCTCAGAGAGTGCTACTTTCAGTGTATCTGACTGTGTGCACACACACAAGTATCAAATCATGAGTTGCAGTAGATATGTTTATCCATAATGAAATAATTTTCATTTCGATCAAATTCATCAATTTCGTTTAAATTTACCACGATATATATCAAATTGTAAACGATTTTTGTAAAGTATTCATAAGAACGCTGTTCTGTTTTACACTGTCGCTAATTGTTCGGAGAATTACCGTAACCCTATTTCGTGTTAATATCAACAATCACGAGTTCACCTTGTGATAATGCAACACGTTTTAATTCGGTTTTTGATTTAAATGCAACTAGTCGTTGAGAAAAGTTCTAGGTAAAATTAACCCTTGAACCCCTTTTTATCTAAATTAAATATTTGTGTATGGTATGTTGTGTCAAGTGTACCTGATGGGCTACAGGCGTTGTGAGAGAGCGAAGCGTGCGTGCAGCTAGCTCCGCTGCGGGTGGGGGAGTGCCCGGATGCGCCTCCATCTCCGTCACGAGCACGTACGGAACCGGGTAACGCATGCGCACGCCGCCACATTCCACCTGCGACCATTATAAAAATCTTTAAAGCACCAAATTAAACTAAATAAAATTAGAAAGAAAAATAATTTATTTGATTAAGTTAATGAATTGAATAAGCTATCCAAAAAAGATAATTTATAACAAAAAATGAGCAACTCGGCTGCATTTCAGTGAGCTAGTGACACCAAGAATCAGAAATAAAGACTTATGTCTAAGATATAATACTATATATATATATACATATATGTGTTTATATAACTATCGATCTTGGTCTGTAATTTTATACACTTTTACTCAAATAAACTTATGAATTTGTGAAAATGTGTGAAAATTATGTTGAATATCATATTTTAACTTGAAAAAAACCTTAAGATTGTTGTACAGTAAAACTATAACACCCTCTCACCTCTACAGCAGCAGTAGCTTGCTCCAAAGGATAGAGATGCCTCCAGGCGTCGAGCAAACGGGCAGTAGCGGGATCCGAGTCTGTCCACTCCCTGCCCGTCACGCGGCCTTCCAGTCCGAATGGCGCCAGGATAACTGCGATTTACATAGGTCGTATGATTATTTATAATAATCAAGAAATAACATTTGTAAATCCTGAGCCTATAACATGGCCAATGATTGCAAGGTTGTTACATGATTACGAACAATTAAGAAAAATTTTTTTTACTAATTATGTATTTACTAATAAGAATTGATATTTTTGGTTCGAATCAATGCAACGTCTTCTTGTTTAATCTGATTTTACGATATTCATATGGTACACAGTAAATAAAAAAAACTAGCTAAGCAGAGGTAGATCAAACAATTATATTCAGCATTGCATGTATGTATAGGTTTACTGAATTGTTTAAGGTGCGACAATAGTTTGGCAATACAGGCAAGTACTCCATCATGTTTTATATACGAAAAACAGATACACAGGATTTACGTAAGAATAGCTCACCCTTGTTATCCTTTGGCGAATGAGCGGGCGGAGCGTGCAACCGCGCAAGCCTCTTAGCGGTGAGCGTACGAACTGGCGGGTGCTGGCGGACATCAACTGACGCGCACACAGTACTCTCGCCGTGCAGGAAGAACGCGAACGAGAAAGACAGGTGCCACGGGCTGCGGGTCACGGTTTTAAAAGTTAGCCGGATCGAAGGACCAATACTTGAACTTTTACTTCATTTAAAAGCGAAAGTAATAAAAAATCGAGTTAACACTATTTACTTGCAAATTTGCTTAGTGTGATTTACTAGTTAATAGATGATGAGACAGCATTAAAAAGGCCATACTGTTTGTATTAATTAAAGTGTGTGAAGAGGAACGAAGTTACACTCTTTACTTAACAAGTGCAACACAGAAATCTCCATGTTTCTTTAGGAAGTGTCACATGCGTGTATTTGAAAACAACCCATTAAAACAATTGCTTCAAATATAACTTCCATACTTTATTATAGATAACAATTTAAGTTATTTAGTTTCGACACTTTTGGATGGTAGTACCTTTTGCCAACGTCCTCTTCGTCTCCATCGTACGGTTGCACAAACCACTTTCCGAGCCTCACAAAGTCCCGCGATAGCAAACATCTGAAAAATTTAATAACAATATAAATAATAGTTTAAAAAAAACTAAAAAACTGAGGCGCTCTGTGCCATATTTTTCGTCTGGTGGTGGTGGGTGGCTCGATCCACCCACTCTTTTTCACAATAATACCAGTATTTTTTGTTCATTACCATTTTCCGCCTAAATTAGGAATTATTTTTCACTTTTTAGTTTGATGTGCTTTAAAAGCGTGTTTTTTAGTTTTTTTTAACTATTATTTATTTTTTATTTTTTTCTTTTTTTTTTCGGATTATTGCATTGTCATCGATCTTTGACAGGTGCGCAAAGTTTGAATTAAATCTGTCCGTGGGTCAAAATCGAGTCCGAAGGAGTCGGTTACATACATACATACATTACATTACATAGAGATTACATAATATATCATATTTACGAAAATCTTTACATACATGTTGAAATCGCTATCAACATTTTTATAAACAAACACGTACAATAGTGATAATCTTTACAATTGCAAAACCAGTGTCGATATACGTTTAAATACCTACTTGAGTAGATAATGATAATACGACTTAATATCGCCAGCTTCTATCATAAAGTATGCGACACTCTATACTTAATCTACGCGCAATAGGAGCTATATTTTTATGTAGATGTGTATGTTGCAACTTGTGATTACGCACCTTGATCGATATGCGGCCGTAGCAAAACTCTTTGTCTTCTACATCATTGAATATTATACCTTACGTATAACCCTAGCCGAACGATAAAACGAAACGTGATCATTAGCAATATTACTCATGATATCTGGCCATAAAAATCATAACACGTCGCGTTCGAGACATCTTTTAAACGGTAGCGATATCCAAGATTATAAAAAGATGTCTTGTTTCACCGACCCATTGAAGTGAGCGCGTGAGGTAATTACTGGGTATAAAATTATTAAGTGGGAAAAAGCGGAGTTTGCTTCCTTTAAAGCACACACTGTCGTCGCGATAAGTACGTCTCGACGCACGCATTGTTACTTTGACGTGCCGCAGCCGGGGTCAACGACTCGTCTGGATTTCGTTCATATCACGGATTCCACCGCGCACCGGCCCGGGATGTTCAAAACCGCTCCAACTACTTATAACGAGCCTTATTATCTTCGTTTACAAACAGGCTACAAACGGTGACCTTGAGGGGCAATAAAAACGTCCGCGCAGTTGCCGATTTTATTTCAAATCCAACGGACCACTCGCGTTAGATGGGCCATGTCGTAAACCTATCGGAGAGGTCATTAATCATAAGTATAGCAGCGAAAACTTTCGCTTTTGGTCTAATATGTGGCTTAAAACGGCGTTTTGGCAAAAAAGCGTTTAGAACGTCTCGATGCAACGACCTTCGTAAATCGTAACAATGAGGCGGAGCGTTGCGCCCGCGCCGCCCCACGCCGCGCCAGGTGCATTCGCACGAAGCGTTACGTACGGACACAATGTATGATCATTATCGATTGCAATCTGAATTACATGTAGATTAACTAACCGATCTGCTGTTAAATTTCCATACAAACTATGTTAACAAGCTATTAATGGCCGTTTAAAAATATATGTTAAATGTATAAGCTATCGGTAACACAATAAAAATGGTGTATTATATCGAAAATATTGAAATAATTATTAATATAACACGCTTAGCTGCATTGTCGTTTCAAAAATTTACCATTGCCTACAAGTAAATCATGTCACAGGTATTAATACGGCTTTGACTTAAAATTAAAAACTCACGAACTTCCGCTCGCTTGTTCACTATCGATTTCGGCGACACACAAGGGTTTTGTTTGATCGTGGATTTAAACAAGTTTCATAAGTACCTTTCAATGAGATTATGGAGAGCTTTGAATAGAAGAGAACGACACTCGTACGACAGTCCACTTTCCCAGGAGCCCTGGTCACCCTCTGAAACAAAATAAATAGTATATAAAATCTATATTCCAGAAACAATATTTTATTGTTAACATCAAGTAAAAGCTACGGCATTGACCCAGGCTAATCGCAAAACAAATGTTATCAGATAGCCATCAGATATCAAATAATTGAATGATATAGGCGTTGATATGTATTATATATGCACACGTGTATTTTTTGGACACGCAACTAATTATATACTATTGCTTAATGACAAACTTTAATCAATTAAAATACAATGAATGAAATAGACAATTATAGCTTTCTTATATACTAAAAGTATTTACTATTTTTTGATCTACGTGTGCTATTTTTATAATGTGTGTCGCTGCTGTGGTTGGTTAACTATTATTTTTTGTTATTCGTGACATTTATGTATTGTCTAATGACTGCGAGTTTTCCATTCAAATATATATTTGTATACCGTCATTAATTTTTCTATTATTGCAACCGCATATCAGGCCGTACCTATTGCAGTTGAGAAATGCATCACAGTGTTGTTGTATTCTTATTTGTGAGATAAACCGGCCTATCACCAACTATCACTGGCGTTACATGCGAAAACAAACGGGCCGTGCGCCGTTGCCGCGCTTAGATCTCCTCTCTCTCTCTCTAAGAGGCGGGGCGGGGGCGACCCCTGTGACGTCAGACGCCCGATCGCACGTGCTTGTGTTTGTCGCGCGACACACATGCGAACGTCAGCGCCCGCTACTTGCTCACTCCTAATTAATATCTAATTTTCAACCTTAGTTACCTTTTAATAAGGTGTTACGAATATGCAAATATTTTTATTACTAGTCCTTAAGAAATTGTTAAACATTATGCACAGAACGTTTAGATTTTATAAACAATACTCTTGTATGGATTTATTGGTTTTTGTTATGGTTTTAACAATTAGTTTAAAGTCTTTATTATAGCTATTGTATGGTGATTAATGTTGGAAATAAGGCGTTACTTATAATGTAACACGTAATAGTATTTTTTGCGTGAACACATCTGGAGCAGTTCCAAGTTTCAAGCGCGCGCGCAGCCTTGACATTCGCGCTCCAGGTGTGCGCACTGCGCGCCATCTCTAGTCACTGAACTAGTTTTTCCAGTATCTATCTTGTATTAGTTGACACATCTCATGTTGTAATTGTTCGTCAATCAGTTAATTATTTTAAATTCTATAGTTTTACTTGTTTATTGAAGACTTAGGTATATATGAATATTAAAAATGCATACAACGTTAGAATTTAATAATTTTCTAATACTATTTGAATAATGCCGATAGACTTCATACCACAATCCGTGTTCTGATAAACTGGTATCGCTGTTACACGGTAGTTGTATAAAACACGTTTTAGTCATGAGGAATTTATCCTACATGAGTGTGTCGCTGCAATAATTACAGCATCGCCTATTCGGCCCCATTGCCTCCCAAGGCCATTAAAGCGAACGTTTCGAACTGTACCTACACCATCAGTTAGTCTTGGCCAGTCACGACTCTTGGTGCGATAAGAACAGTTCCAGTTACTATCGATCTACCGATTCTTAAAACAGGTCTTCTCAAACATACATTACAAGCATTGACCTACATTTGGCTGCCTTAAAAATTATAGACCGTCCCACTTGGGAGTTGAAGTCTAGTTCGGACCTCGTAATGTAAGCGCTGATTATATCGAATCAGAAATAATTGTTACTTTTTACATAAAATGCCTTAAAAATGTTTGTGACATAAATAAAGGACAGTGATCAGTTGCATTGTAATGCAATTATAAGGATTGTCAAAGGTTCAAGGTCGAATAGTTGTGTTCTATCGGTGTTGTGGCGGTGGGAACCACCTAGCGGCGGGATCGATAGCGGGACAGATGCGCGCCGCCGCGCTGCTTGCTACAACCAACGAACAATTATCACCAGACACCAATACCCTAAATTAGGTTACAAAATGTCAATATTGAATGAATAGGGAGACTATAGTAACACGGGACATTTAATAATCTCCTTATTACATTGTTTGTGGCCAGAAAATAAATACAATTAAATAGAAGAAAATATATCAAAAGATAAGCACAGTGTAAATGCTTAGAAAAGGGTTTGGATAGGCTGCTAAGTTTACACGATAATGTGGGGCATTAAATCGCAGACATAAAACACATTTAACCGTTGTTTTGAGAGAAAAAAAAAGTAACAAGGTAATTAGACAAAATATAAGTTTACTAATCGTATTATTTTTTGCTATAACTGCCAAACAAAACCCATATTACATAATTTGACGGATATTAATTTTTTATTTTTTTTAAATATAATTTTACACTATTTAACGCTTTTGGCTGTGTGTTTGAATTGAACCATAGTTAAATATTAAAATACTGTTTAAATAAAACCTAAGCCGAACTCGTTATTGTAAAACTGATATACATATTTATGTATAGGAAGTAAAAGTTAGATCGTGCATTCTACCAATACAAGTTGGATACATCAATTTGCGTCGCCAATATTCAGATCCGCCCACACTGCAGCACTCGGCAAAACTCCGTCAACCCACCCCAATCGCCCCCCTTATTCGATACCTGTTGAAGGCATCTTTTTGCTAAACGCAAAATCTAATACAAAAAAATCTCTATTTATCGTAGAAGGAGGATCTTTTGAAATAAAACCATGTATGTGGTACTCTAAAATAGACCTACTTATTAACACCAAAGTTTGTTTATTAGACAAACCCTACTTAGCTTATTATAACTATAACAATTGTTTTAAGATCAAAAGAATCGTGAAGATAGAGAAAACTAGTAAACAGCGCGTGACAGCTACTTGTATAAAGTTAGCCGCAGTGAGGCAACGTCGCTTACGGGCTCGCAATCCAAACGCGTTTTGTTTACCTCATGCCGCCTACCGGAGGCTTCCAAACATCAGCTTATCACGGCGAAACCGCTTAAACTGTGTACAATGGTTTCATTTATCACTGTACCTCAATACAGTATTTATTAAGTCATAAAATTTAAATGAACCCTTTTCATAAAATATTGAATATTTTATAACCTATTCATATACTACAATAATATCGAGGTATTACATGCCGTGGCGAGCGGGTGGTAATGCGATTCAAGATGGTATCGAGCGTGTAGAAATCTGTCAATTCGCGCGCGCCCTCCGCAGAGGGCCGGCCTCGTCCCTCTGGCGGCCCTATGCCCGTCTCGCTTGCACACGCCCACGTGCACGTGACGTCATGCTCGCGTCTTTCCGACGACGCGACGTCACGGACCGCCCGCGAACAACCCGATGCGGGCGAAATGCCCTACCCCGTTGATAACTTTCTTTACTTTTCTTATACGTCTTAATTACAAGAGTATTTGTGTCTGTAGCTAAACGACATCAAAGATTTTTGAATTGTACTAAAAGTAACTAAAGCTTAAAGTACTAATAAATTATCTGATAGTTATGGAGAGACTTACAAAGTTAACAGGTAATTGAACTGCAGAAACGGTAAAGGAAAGGTTGGAGTTGCGACACGTATGGTTTCGTGATGGAGGTTATGTCTCGGAGTGGGCAGGCGGCGAGGTCGAACCATCTGCGCGGCCCGAGTCACGCAGCTGTTTACCGGCCCACCCTTCGCTTTGTTTCTACACCGCACCTAATCATTATGTGAACCTCATCAACCACCTTCCGATAAACTAGACTAAGCTGACTTTTCATAGACTTTCTTTTTTCCTCAAGCTACATTATTATTTATTAGACAAAGAATGGAATGAATTTCAAAAATGGATGATCAAGTTTACTCAATTACTTGGGTATATTTAAATTTGCACCAAATTAATTATTAATAATAGAGCCGCATAACAGAACAGTGTGAAATAGCCTATCAAGACAGTAACGGTACGGTGGTCGGTGGCGGTCGTCGGTAATGGTAACAGGATGTACCGCTATATCGTCATCGAATGTATTATACTAGCATAAGACATACATAGTTAAATTTGCCTAGCCTAGTCTGTTTTATTCATTAATAACAATAATTTCACTATCTGCGGTTAGGTGATGTGATAAAAAACCACAAAAACCAAGTTTGTCACATTTTTTTTATTATGTCTTATCGTTATGTTATTTAATATTAAACATGTACAAACAAACGCTAAAAGTAGGTATATAGATTTTGAATAGCATGGAGCGATCGATAACCAGTCGATCAGTGTTGCGCGTGCGCATCAATAAATAGCCCAATCGGGCGGGCGGCCGATACACGTCACCGTAAAGCTTTTATTAATAAAACACCGAACACAAACGCAGTTAACGTTCAACAACCTCGCGGAAGGGGATCGCTTACGACAACATTTGCATTAAGATTACATAACATTCGATCTAAGTTTCATTGTTTTAGAAAACTTATATAAAAACCAATTTAATTAACTTCAATAGAAAACAAGTCGCAAACATAAACGAACTACAATTGTAGAAGATAAAAAGTTACCATCTGCGTCCACAGTAGCACCGTTAACTACAAGCCTGCGCCGACGCAGAGACCGACACCTTTCCCACGGTACGAGATCGTACTACAAAGTTTTAAGTAGGCTCTGTGAGTAAAATTAAATTTTATACAGTTACACCTAATCTAACTCACGAAGAACAACTCTCTTTCTCGAATACAAAACCAAATCACGTTTGAAAAAAGCATATAGTATAGTTTTACAGATTTTACCACTTTAATAGGTTATAAATGTATATAACCTATTACATTGGAAAATTAATAATGTATAAACGAATGCTAAATTTTAATACAATTCAACTTAATGCGATAACGTTGGGATTGGTATGCGTTCCTTACGCTTAGTCTCAAGTACATTCTCACAATAATAGCGCGGTTTGCGCGCGCGCATTCAACCCACACATTCTCAAGCCCTACCTTCTAATTAATAAGTTAACGGCTCCTCTCTACCCTCTCTTAACGATTTAACCCAAGCGAAACTATTGATTACATCACCGTATATTCTGTTATCACTAAAAAACCATTTTTAGTATTTAGGCGCATTTACAGCTCATTTAAAAGGCTGTTATATATTAAAGTTATTAACGCTAAGGCTTATTTAACACAAATATGTTTTAAATAATTGTGTGGGCATTTATCGTATTTTCAGTGACGACGTTCAACGGAAGACGTTATCTTTTCTCATACGGATTGTCTACGGTGAGATAATGTTTGTATTAGATAATAATATGGTCTATGTCAAACTAATAGGAATTTGCTCTTTTAAAGATACCTATTTATATTTAATTCGTAACTAAAAAATAACATTTCGTTTGGTTAGACGTGAGATATTTAGGTAATCAAATTGTTGATGTCGATAAAACAGAAACAACTTTCAAACATTAACAGAATGCTGTATAAAGACAGTACGTTAAATTTAGGAGTGCAGAGACTGGAGAGGGCGTAACATGGATTGGTTGTGGAGTGAGCTGGGTGTGGGTCAACGACTGCGCAGCCTGGCAACCAATAGCTACCATTGAATATTTCAGTAGTCTAAAATTTGACACGGTACATTCGTAGGTATTAGTTACCACATTTCACAACACCCAAAAGTGTCTGGTACCTAGACATTGTATTTCTTAACAATGCAAGGGAAGGGGAATGATACACCGTCGGAAAGGGGTTCTTTGTAGGAATTTGGGCGAATGATAGGCACATGCGCATAAACAATCTGGTAATTTAAATCATTCCCTCGTTAAGAATACTAAGAAATCGAAACGTTTAATTTGCAATCATATCTCAAATCAAAATGGCATCGTTTTATTTGAGCAAAACACCACAGGCGGTCATTATTTTATCTCGACCGTTGGTCGCGAGGTTCGTCACGGAATGTGAAGTTTCGGGGCCCCGAGGAAGTCAGCGAAGGGCATGTGTCTACAATCTACATAACCATTTCGTATACAAGAGGACATGTGCAGTAAGGATCAGGTGTCGCACTGACCGCGGGCAAACCTGGCGAAACGGGTTATCAAACCAGTTGTTACCAACCTCTAGAGAACAGAAAGTAAAACCCACTGTTTCAAATACTTTTGTTAAACATTTTCAGCTGTCAGCGACGAATCAGTAAAATTGCGCAATATGGTGCAGATCTCCCACGAGCTAGAATCGCACATTAATCTTCTAATTAACTTATTATGACCGAGTTTCTCTGTCTAGACATATTCCGGTTTTGTTAATACTGCCACAAGGAATTTGTATTATAGTTAAAATTATTAGGAACTTTGGTTAATTTTAATTAAAATATATTTTAAGTATAATTAGTAAAATAGATACAATTCTTAAAACAATTAACTCAATACAGCACGTATCAAAAATGTGATAAAGGTTGAGATAACTGGAAAATTTCATTTCACGAGTGTGTCGTATCTCGTTTGATTAGAAACAGATAGTCACACGCTCGCGTGTTTGTTCCAAATGAATTCTAAATGTGACATTAGAAACTCGAAGAAAGGGAGTTGTGAAGCCGTAGAGCCGTCGGGTGTCTTGCGAAGATTGTATTGTGATGCATGCAGGCGGGGACCGGGTACGGCGATGTGACCGGTATCGATCAGCGTGCGGCTGAGCGCCGTGTGCCAGCCACAGCGCCACTTATCGCCGTCTTCGCGCCACTTCGCACCTAATTTATCGCGATGTTTGTATAATGTATACAGCGGTTATGATGCCGCGTTATTTTTAAAGCATCCATATAATGCGGTGCGGTTTAAACGTTTATGAGCACCCGTCGAATTTCGAGGTGGCTGTATTTACAGTATCGCTTGTCTTTTATTAGCTTTCAAAGGCTTTCAAAATTCTATTACAAATATCGTTTTTTATTTATGGTATACAGCTTTTATAAATTGTTCAGTAGACTTCTATAACAATTTAAGATTCCGATAACACAAGCGGTAGCGAATAATCCAAGTTTTACACAGTTCACTTATTGATATTACAGCCACTTATAGCTAAGTTCATGAGATATAACTTTTATCCTCCAACTTTCTGACCGATATTAACTCGTCGTTATCTAAAGTTTCTCGTACTTGAAGAATCATAACGTAAAGTAACTTTCGCTATGATTCATATTTCATCAGACTTACGCGTTTGTTGATAAAATGTGTGCTTATGTACACATTCTTTTTAGTAACAGGCATTAACCTAGTGCCGATAAAGATTTTATATCTGTTTAATATACCATACAATAAACTGCTATTACAGAAGAATATTTGTGAAAGATGACCGATGCCTACTGCAATATGATTGTAATAGGAGCGTAGAAATGGCGAGGGCGCCAAACAGCCGGCATACCGCATAATATCTCAATAATGACTTATCATGCAAGCAAACTTGCGCAAAGATGTTCCTTTTATTAATATTTAATTAGTAAGTATATTTAAGTAAATATCTCTTATCATAACTAACAATAATAACTTGTGTGTTGAAGTTGAAGAAGAGTTAGAACGTGTAGACTAACTTCGTATATATAATATGTAAAAATGTATTGGAGTAAGACCATATTCTGGTTCTTGTGTTCGATGGCAGGATCGCGGTATTATTTTTTAAAACTAACTATGTTTATATGTAGAAGGTCTTAAACCGATTACATTGTGACGAAGAATTTTTGTAGGATGTAACAATGAATTAAATTAACGAAACAACCGTTCAAAGATGGTCAAAACCCGTAAAATGCAATATTTTGAAGCAAATAAAATCTATGATTATTATCGCAGTAAGTAAATAAAGATTATAAGTATTCTATAAGTATGATAATTCATCAATTTTATAAACTCTGTAAAAACGTATTTATAACGCTATTGCTATCTCATGCAGTATACGCGATACTTGGTCTAATATTTCATCCGAGTTAATCGCAAGACGCAGTGATAATAAGTAGAAAATTTTACTATAGCACTGTACTATATATAAATTAGCTACACAGGTAGGCGTAGATCATCAGTATCCATTAGGTCAAACTCACCCACACTCAAACAGATTGACTGACCCAGAGTGACCTTTAAACAAACACTTGGGACTCGATTAGAAAACCTTTTGCGGAATACCAGTTGATTTAACAAAGGGTATATTTAAGGTGAAAATTTTGTCATCGAACAAATTACCTAAAAACTATTAGCTTAATTGATGCGTTTAAAGTACAGCTTATCGACACACGGTGTGCATAATAAATAAATGCGGTAGAATAAAACGCGAACACGCCACCCCACAAACGATCCTCCCCCGACGCCCGTCGGTTACCAGGTGCCGAGATATGGGCGAACCCCTAATTGTTAAGCGGTCACAGAGAATTTAAAGGTTAAACCGATAGAAATTACGAGTGTGAGAGAATGAGAGATTAACGATAGAGTCTTGCGTCTAAATAGTAAAAAGTACTTTTTGAAGACGGAATCAGGACGGGTACAACTTCTGATTCTCTTAGAAATATTTTCGATTTTGATGCTAGTATTGGAAGTGAGAATAGGTGTAAGAAATAAAAATCGTGCTTGATTCGTATCGATGAATTCTATTACAGGCATTTTATTGTATGACAAAGGTTAATAAACACTCTTCGGGGCGTTTGACATTTACCGCCCTCTTCCCTTCGTCTATCGAATTTCCTATCATGTCCCTACATAACATCATGGATTATAATGCATCTAAACAATTTAATTTTCACTCCGATTCCATTAAGCTATAAGCTTGCTATAAAAACATTTACAGGTATTATTGCATATTTATCAATTAAAATTAGTAATCTAAGATGCAGCTGTTCCAAGCATAATCAATATGTACAACATTGATCATATAAATGATTCCATTAACCACTTCATGTATTAATGAGTAAACGAGATACAATATAACATGATCCAAAGTACACTACCATTGTTAGAAATTCTCGCACATTCTAAGTTTTATATGTCGAATAACTTGTAAGCTTCCTGCTCTCTACACCATCTACTCGGGATGGCATAAACCGATTATCCCTTGTCGCGTCCACCGGGTCAGCTGTTAATCTCCGAGAAAATAGGCTCACGTAGAGAGCCGGCTCGGACAGATTCCTCGCAAATTGTTACCAGGAGCTAGTGGCGTAACAATAGGGTGGCAGGGCTGGCAAAATGCCACGGGCCCGCGACCCAAGAGGGCCCCTGCCCAAGAGATATTATGTTATATGGATGAATGTGAAGTCTCCAATACGCATTGGGCTAGCGTGGGGACTACAGACCATTCCCTCTCGCCTAAGAGAGGAGGTCTATGGCCATTAGTGGGACATATACAACGTGTAATTTAGTACGCTGAAAATCTCGAAGTTTATTAAAATTAAACTGAGTACTTTTGTTGTTTGAGTAACATGACGATTTTTCTGTTAGGGCCCCATCAAAAGAATTTGCCACGGGCCCCAGATGGTATAGTCATGCCACTGCCGGGAGCCATCGGCTGTTCACATTACTGAAGTTTCATTGTTTGAAAGCTTTATAATCAGATAACATAATATTGTTAGACGTCTATGCAATTTATATAATGTGGCGAGTATTTATCAAGTTTAAATAGCCTTGTGTCCAGTTCTGGTAGCTTCTACAGGACGGGAAATTGCTGTAGGTACGGTTATTTCCGTTCGCAGTTGAACCGGCGGCGACCTTCGATCGAATGCAGCCATTTTCCGTCCAAGTTTATGAAGCAATTATCACTGAATTTACGATTAAATTTCTTCAGATCAATATTAAAACTAATAAGGATCAAAAATAGTAAGATTTGGACTAAATTTGAACTTTGCTAGTTTTTATTAAAAATCTTATAAAAAGAATATTCATAGTAACGGCTTACGCACCTAATCTCGTCATATAAGCAGAAAGTAGGCGAACGAGAGATTTATATCCGAAAACACAGTTTACTTTCAGTACCGTTGTAATTTTAATGGTTAAACAATCTTAAAAGCGCCATAAAAATAAATAAAATTTCAGTACTTTCGGTAAATGGAAACGAAATCGATCACATTTTCGATATTGCCCTTTACGACGGTGCACTTAGTAGCGCGCACGCGTAACGTTACGCCCACTTCGCGCCTAGGTGCGATATTACGCAACAGAAACACCGCTAACAACTTCCCGATACAATTTGACATAATCGAGTTGATACCGTTTGACATAAGATATAAATTATATTTTATGTAATGATAATTATTTATTATTACTTATTTATTAAGTCAAAGACATACAGCGCGGAATTGAGGGCGAGAGCAGCGTTGACAGTGACAAAAATACAAACCGTTTATGTAGATTTATGTCAGATTCTATTTTAAGACCACGTTGCAGTCGGGTGAACTTGCACTCAAATACTGTATAACCGATATTATTTGAATAAACAGAATCGAGTGAAACAAATATTTAAACAAAACTTTTCCTGCCTTCCTTCCTAAGTTAGGAATTAAAACATCGGCCTTTATATACATATATTTATTTTGTGTTGAATTTGTGAAAGCGTATTTAATTTCTAATTGTAGTATTAGATATGGCGTCGAAGGAATTCGCATAATGGTGTCAAGTCTAAAACTTATTTTGTAAGAAAGTTTCGCGGCCAATTGTTCAAAAATGCCAGTTATCAGTACAATATATCGTGTCTATAGTTATTTTATTTCTCAATAACAATTAAGTTTCTCTCCGCTGTAATAATGTGAGACAGGCTACGACTATTTGACAGCTTTTACGTGTATCAAGTATATTCAATTCCATAGGTTATATAGAATAAAGTCCATTAATATAAAACTTTGTAAGGCACTGACGAAACTTGTCAGACGGGTAATTACTTTCACTTTAAATGTACTGATTTTTACATCTTTATGTGTAGTATGGCATTTGGCAACATCAACTAATATCAAACATTTGGGAGAGAGGCCGTAATTTAAAAAAATGTAATGAAATAGATTATAGTATAGAGTTTAAGATTTTGTCACAGATTAACGTAATTATTCAACTTAATCTCTTACCAAGTTTGTCGCGATTGGAGGATCACTTCACGATCTTAATCTTTAGCTTAATTATCGCGAATGATACAACATCCCGGGGTTTTGTTAAACGAGCTGTTACAGCCATTAATCTATAAAGCGGTGATTATCTGTCCAACAGAGGCAGCTATCAAGCGGTTTCAGCAATCAACTTCAACGTTTATCGGTATTATAGTGGAATATTATCGTTATCATGACACTACAATGATTATTTTCGGCGCGCGATAATGTTATGTCACAACTATTGTTATTAGATTGATTATATTTAGTCTCCACTTTTTTAAATATAAAGTATATTTAATGACGATTTCATAGGTTTAGAATGTTATCTGTGTTTTGAACAATACTTTGAGAGTACTTAGTCAAAAGTCGGTACTTCTTTTTGCGATCTAAGCCCGGTAATAAACAAAACTAGCTATATGGCTATGCTACAGCGATAGATTCGTGGTATATAAAATAAAAAAAACTTACGACTCTCCAGCAGTTCGGAAGCGACGAGTCCGGTGAGGTCGGGCTCCTCGCCGTACCAGAAAATCCACAATTCCTTGGAGGCTCGCAGGGAAAGCGGCGGCGGCGCTGGCGCTGGCGTACTCATATCTAAGTCGAGTGGTTGCGGGGCCGGCACACGTCGCCATACGCACAGTATGTCTCCAGCAAGACACCGCGCATAGCTGCTGATCACAGGATCGGCCAGAGGTGCCGCCCCATCTTCGGTCTCGCCGCCGCCGCTTGTCTCGCCCCATACTAGCTTACGCCATTTTATGCCGTGAAGTTCAGTCTGAAAGAATACATGACAGAATTAAAACATACGATATTTATTTTCTTATACATGTGCTATTTAAAAATAATATGCCGCAAATTCTCCTACATCGCCACGTACAAAAAAAACAAAATTAACACCGGATCAAAGTTTTTTTGTATAATACTAAAAATCGTAAGTGCCGACCATGTTTAAGCGAACAGGACTAGAGACTAGGAGAACTATAATAATAAGGCACTAAATACAACGTTTTCGGTTAACATTCCGAAACTGACCCTACAAGTCTAGACGTCTTAAATTCTCCACATAACAAAGCTAAAATACCTGGTTGAATTGCGTTAACGAGTCGTGAAGAGATTAATAAATTAAACAATAACCAACCAACGTGTTCAAAACATGTATTGTTTGTGTTATAATTTCCATACAAGAACATAAAACGTATAATCGTGGGGCATGGTTAATTCTGCATGTATACAAATCAGTGATTAAATTATCTTTTTGTTCCTTTACTGTGACCTTGTAACTTGATTCTGACACTCTAAAATATAGTTAAATAAAATATAGAATTTAACGCGGTTCATTGTTATATGGGCATAATGAAAAGGTGAACGTCTAAATGTGACCTTTGCAATGTTAACTTTAGGTCAACATAATTCAGTTGATGTGCAAGCTTCGAGTTAATTTGTAAAGTGATGTAACTCATAAGTTAACAATCTGTCAACCGCTTGGTATTAGAAGGTGATGTGGGTCGGTTCGCTATGCAATCCGGTAATATGCTTATACTGCATGCCTAAGATACAGTCGACTCTCGATAATTTGACACTCGTTAATTTGAATCTCTCGAAAAATACTCGATAAATTGAATAAAATCAATGATAATTGGTCCCTTCGGTAATTTGAAGTTGAAAAAGTTTTATCTTGCTCGCCAACATGCGATAATTTGAAATCAGGTCTTCTCTACTCTCTATAAATTGAAGCGTTTATCATGCACATACCTGTCGTTTGTTTACATACATGCACAGACTTGTCAATTGTTTACATAAATGGGTGACAACTGACAAGTGACGATTGCTTTGCAGCTCTCACCACTATCGAAAATTCATTGGACAATGATAAACTGAAGTCACTCACTCAAAAAAAGATTACAGACTTCTTTTCGAAATAAAAAATTGTTAATAATTGTTAATACATGATAAGAATATAGAAATAATAAGTAACAAATTTTTATCAAATTCTTATTTCCTTCAGTCGTGGTTATTCAAACACTTGTTATTTTGAACTCTCGAATTTCAAATTATCGAGAGTCGACTGTATAAGTAAATAATACGCCAGACTAGTAACCAATAACTCATAAATTAATTAAAAACCCACACTAATTTTAACTAAATCTATTCTACCTATTACTCTTCTAATATATTTTCATTGTTAGGAAATTTTAATGAATGCGTTTTTAAATATAATATATTATATATTTTATATATAAAACAGGGGCAAACTGGCAGGAGGCTCATCTGATGCCAACGCCCATGGTAGAGGGCTCGCGAGTGCGTTGCCAGCCGTAACTTGTTACTTCGCATTTCTACGACAATTCGAGTACCTACTTCTAATAAAAATTAAAGCGCATAGAGCTGCGGTCTAAAACCGCGTAGTTGTTTAAAACCCATAATCCTAAGGTCATTGTACTAAATTCTGCTGGCATCTGCGGCGGAAGGGGCCCTGAGTACACCTGGCAGACGCGCGTGGGGTCGCATCGGCTGCGATAAGGCGACTCCTTCAAGTGCTCGACTTATTGTATACTGGTAATCTCTTGGTTAAATAGACTGAGTTATAAACCACAGACCATAACGTACAGTTGGGGAAATATTAAAAGAATTATGGTTCACGAATCAGATATAGACAATATACTACAAATCCTTGATATTTTTGCTCATAAAATATACTTGGGCCTTATCTAAGAATTATATTCGACAATATTTAGATTGGGCTAAAGATAAATTAACTTATATAAGTATCAAGTGGTAGGGTGAGAAAGAATTCGAGTTCGCTCCGGTAGACGCGGAGGCCGCTTTCTAACGCCCGATGCGCCCGCTTGCTCTGCTTCACTTTCTATTGTGTGACGCGATCACGCGTCTTCACCGAAACACGGATCTAAGTATTAAAAATTTAACTGCTACGGTGATAGATGGGTATTTGCTAAAATCCTTGTAAAAATGTAATAAGTACGAAATAAATAAATGATAACAATAATCAATGAACATTCCCTGATCACAAGATCTAGTGGAACAATAGTCTAAAATTACTAAGAATGAGGATGTATTCTTGAAGAGGGAAATGAGGCGGATATTAAGAGGCATATCCGCCAAAGCCCGAGCTTTAGCATAAGTTTATCTTGTCAAGTGAGGTCATTTAAATTTAAAATGAATTGGTGCGATCTACTGACCTCACAGCGTCTGTCCGCGGAAGTTATTGTAAATTTCTATTTTATAGCGATAAAAACAATATTTTATTTAAAAAAAAATTATGTCTAGTTAAAATGCCTTTTAATGTAGCAAAAATACCCTACATTCCGTAACCATGAACGGCAAAACTGCACAGCCAAAAAAGTCGAACACCGCTAGACACGAGGGAGACAGATGTATCAGTCCGAGCGAGTAGGGACATCGCGAAAGTGAGAGGAGGCGACCGAGACGCGGTGCGGCAACCTCGCACCGGTGCCGGTTACGTTAGTTGCGGGGTAAACAATCGAGGTGATGTGACGGCAAGATGCGCGTGCGCCCCGGCCATGCACTTCCTTTACTGCATTTTTGTTTTGTGACGTCACCCGTATTCAGGGACAACACTGATGACACGAATTACTTTTATTTATATTAGACGTTAACCACCTTATAATTTCTTTAAAGTAAAAGTATGTCGAAACTGCAACCATGTTATTTGTTTTCAGGCATTATATTATACAAAACTAAGTAGTAAGAATAAGAGCTTCATAAATAAATAAATATTTCCGAACAAAGAAAGCCAGATGACCTTAGCCACTAAACATCACCGAACGAATCATTTGTCGCAATTAAATTTACGTAAATTGTGTTTTAAAGTTCACAGTAAAACAACAAAAAAAATATTTTAACCAACAACAAGATTTAAATCGACAACTAAACAAGAAAAAAAAATCTACGTCACAAGCATAATATACAATCTGGAACAGCGACATAGTGCGTGACATAAGCACCGTATGTCGAGCACTTCCGCGATCATCATTATGTGCAGCATGTTGCATTTCACCAGCAATTACACCTCCCCTAACATCAAGCAATATAAGACTTCACAAATGAAAAAATAAAGACCAATTCGGTATGTCTTCACTTCACGTATTTTATTACTACGTGCTAAACGGCGTTATGGCCTTTAGATTATAATTTTTGGAAGACACGAAATTCAATTCACGAATTTAGAAAGCAAAGCAACTTTCGAGGAGTTTTTAGTTTATTATTACAAAAGTGACAACCATTAATGGGAAATATACGAAAACCAAGATCTTTATTTCAATTCCTCGTAAATTTATTGTAGAAATCGGAATAAAAAGTGACTTTAGAGTTTAGGGTTACCTATGAACATTCTTTCGACATCTAAAAGCACAATGGGGTAGTGTGGGTGGCGACAACGAACCAATTACCGTTATTTCCTTCTCAGATTTTAGTCTCAACAAAAACGTGTGCGAGCGAGACGAATAATGCGGTACCACAATGAGTTGTGTATCAACTCCGGTTATCTGCAATGTTAAGATGATAAAACAATTACCTCTGACCTGAAGATACTTAACGCTGTCAGATTATATTATTGCTTTTAAAGAATCCATGATTATGACGTATTATCGATTTATTGGAAACAAATCGATTTATCAACAACAAACGTGAAAGCTGGTATATTGTTTACATTGTTATTAACAACTTACATATCGCTTAAAATAGTTTAGATTTGAATCAAACTTAAGACAAGTACAATAGGAGTATAAATTGAAATTGCTATGCGTTGAGCGCGCTATGAGGCACGCGCCGCGAATCGGTGAGGTCAAGCGCGCTGCGCGGGCGCATACAATCGGCAGACTTGCCGATCCTTCAACAATACTATTATGAATCGCATTACATCGAACAACCTAACACCAACAACAATATTTATAGACCGTATTGTATACGAGTCTTATAAAAACTTAACTTTATTTTTTTTAACGTATTCTGTTACTTATAATAAATGTAACTACCGTGTAAATTATTGTAACAACCCTTAAAACTACAATTAACATCCCTAAAATTACTCTTCAAACAAAGCTCATTAATAAATATTTCGATTAGGTATGTCTTGTTACATTGTGAATTGTGATCACTCCATTGTTTGCACGCATTCGCAATGTCGTAATCGCGTAGAATTAATAAGTTGGTAATCGTTTCGTGGTGGGGTCGCTGAACTGCGGTGAAATCAAAGACGAACAACTGTCTTTCTTGATAATTAACCCAGTATTACTGTTTCAAAAAAATTCATATATAAAAAAAATATCCCTAAATATGCTTTTTCTTATTTATAAAAATAATATTCATATTAGGTAAATGTTATATGCTAAATGTACACAGACCATATCATATCTTAATTATAATTGACCAATACGAAATAATGTTTTATTGTAAAAAACAGCGGAACATCAACATCAAAGCTACCAATTAAAGGAACGTGAAGGAACGCCTCATACATACTCGTGATGTAAGATAAGAATTTTTCATTTCTCTTTGCTGAAGGCGAATGGAAATGGAAACAAAAAATATGAGAACGGGGTGCAAGCATGAAGGGTGCATATGCAGGGCGCAGGTAGATGAGGCGGCGAGTGCACTACCCAGCTAACGGTAAAGGTATCCGCGTGCGGTCAACGAACCTCGATCCACTATACATCTAGAATTTTGAGCATTTGCCCCAGTTTTTTGGGACGGCTATTACGTAAGGGTATAAGGCTTGCCGGTTTATGGCTTTTATTG